CTTCGTTTGGTAAGTTGTACAATAAAACTTAGACAACTTAGGTTTTTCTTTCGGCAGAACTTTGTCGAAGTTCATAGGCTAGGCCTGATTCGCAGACCTCGTCATACGCTTTAACCAACTCATTTAATTAAAGTATCGGAGTTGGTGACAGATCATTTCGATTAACGTTTCGTAATCCATATCTGGGACTTTCTTTTTAAATTCTTAAACCCCTTTGTAAAGTTCCCGAACGCCCCGAAGTTGGCCCCAGCAGACAGGTTTCTGCTTGATAATTATTGCATAAGTTTGCTTAAGTTGAACACGTGGGGAAGTTGAAGTTTTAGTTTTTCTTTTTTCGTATCAGCTCCTGAAGCAGTTTTATTTTTAGTTTCAGTTTTTTTTTCTCTCGTTTCGTGTCTCACTTGGACAACTTAAGCCAACTCGTTTTCTTGTTTAGTAAATTCAGACTCTGTGGGAGTTAGGCTAGGTTAGGCCTATCTTGTACTAACCTTGTTTGTTTCAGGTCGACGACGTAACTCCGTAGGTAAGCGGAGTGACTACTTAGCTTACTTGTTGATTTGTTAAGTTAGCTAGTAGTGTGTCATTTAGATATTTGCCCACGGAGTCAAGTCAAAATTATTATTTTGCCCACAAGCCCTAGGCTAGAGTGGTGATTTCTAGTTGGGTGGTTAGTAACCCGCCACGTTCGTCTCGAGCTCTGACAACCGGGGCTATCAAAGTTAGGCTATCCGAATCACTATCGACTCCTGGGAAACTCCCCGCGACCAGACTAGGGTGAATCCTGGGATCTCGTTACCTTACCGGTGGCGTAATTTCCCTCTTGTCGTCCGCCAGGAAAATTACGTCACAACTTTAGTTTTTGGACAATTCTTAGCTTCGGTTCAAGCAAATCTGTGGGGTGACTTTGAAAACCCTCAAACTTCTAGTAGCTTATTAGAAACCCCCCCTTCCAAAAAAAGAGCCAACGTAAAGCTTTCAACAACAACAGCTTCCTGGCAAATCTCTTTGGACTTTGAGTTACTGCGACTCGCACACTTTCAACATTTGCTGGTGTACAGTTTTGCGGCACCTACCGATTATTTTTAAGGTTTAAGCGTTTATCCTAAATAATTTTACCCAGTTCACCATTGTTTTCCAATCTGGAACAGTACCATGTTGACCAAGGATGGAATGTGGTCCAAACAATCTCTGGGTTTTTGGACAAGAACAACTATTTTAAAAATAGGTTTGCACATCAAAATCTCAGTGTTAATAGCCTCGGGCATAATATTTTCTAAAATGGCATAGTTTAATTGATGTTTTAAGCACAGCTGATCATTCGTTGTTGCAACAATTAACATGTGACAGCTAAAACAAATTGTGGCGTTCTCATTGCCCCACCCTGTACTTGTACAGTTTACAATTCCAAAACCCAACCTGATAAAAATATAAGACCCTGATTTGTGCTGTGGGGAAATTTATGACCTTTCACAGCCCTGTAGGCTACCCACACTCATTGATTTATACTTTGTTGTTGATTGAGCTTTAGTGGGGGATCTTAAGAAAAAAAACCATAAGAAAACTGCAAATTGTGATAAGAGTATGCCCTTTGGTGGGAATGTAGTTTAAGGTTAGGCAATGAAAATGAGATGGGGAGGCACCGACAAAAGTTGCTATAATAAAAATGGCGGCGATTTTTCAAAATGGCTGCCCGTATTTTGGGTTTTATATATTTTCTTTTGATATACATCATGCAAAATGGTGTTTCTGATAAATCTTTAGGTTTTTAGGTACAAGCTAAGTAAATAAGTTCAGTAATAAGGTAATAAACGTAAATTTATTTACAGAAAATGTATATCACCAACTAAAAACACGCTATATTTTATAAGTTGCAGAATATTTCTACCAACACCATTCTTAGCTATTTTGTCTATAGGGAAGTAGCTATTACCGTAGGTGATATGGTAAGACCTAGGCCCGAGATCGATTTACTTTTTCATTTTAATGTCCCCAGAGGCCAAAAACACCATTTGTTCAAATTTGTATACAGTTGAACCTCTATAAGACGAATTTCAAGGGGTACGGGAAATATTCGTACAATAGAGGTATTCTTAATAAAGAGGGTCGTTTTATCGAGGTTTAATGCTGCTGTTATTCTTCTTATAGAGGTTTCTCCTTGCTCCAAGGTTTTTCCAAGCAATGATTGAGGAAGGAGGAGGGATGGGTGGGGGTTTCATGTTGAGACAAGCTTCTGTTTGTTTTGAAAACTACGTACTATGGAGGTTAAGATTATGATAAATTCGTCTTATAGAGGTCACGTTCGTCTTGTAGAGGTTTTGTGCTAAGAATATTCGTTGTATAGAGGTTAATCAGTCCTAGCCCATGTCACAAACAAATTCGTCTTATGGAGGTTTTTAACTTAATTACTACGTTGTATAGAGGTGTTTTTAGCATTGACCTATATGAAAGTGTCAAGGGGATTAAAAAAAATTCGTCTTATCGAGGAATTCGTTTTAACGAGGTTCGTACAAACGAGGTTCAACTGTATATGTATATATTTTTGTGTGTGTGTCCGTGAACACAATAAATTGAGTATTTTTTGTCCGATTTTGATGAAATTTTGTTTGAAGGTATAAGGTGGGATAAACTTGAATGATTTCGCGAACCAGCAAGATCGGACCATGGGAACGGGGTTTTACGGGGGGTTTTATGGGGTGAAAATTGTTTTTTTTCAATTTTTGACCTTCTAAACACAACATGTCCCAACTTCTCTCCAGACCTTTTCAAAGAGCTTAAAAAAACAAATAATTTAGTATATAAAAGTGTTTTTGTACAATTATTGGTTACGGATAAAATTCCAAAAATTGTTATTTTAAAATTCCCATGTTATTCTTATGGAGAATGTTGCAGTTTGCTTGTTTATGTATACATTTTAATCGAACTTGGTAAATTTATTTATTTTATACTGAGATATTAATATTTTACTAAAAAAAAACACACTTTTTTACCCTCCCTGTAGCAGCAAGCCTAGGTACTCATAAAACCTAATGCTAATTAAATGCGTTTAGTTGAAAATCAACTCAGGCAAATGGAAATTCGCTTAGTCTGCAGGTTCGCTGCGGCGGGGGTATTTCTGATTCATTTCATTCCACACAGATTTTCATTGAAAACGTTTATATCTATATCAATTTCGGCGGGTAAACCATTTATATCATCAAAGTTCTGAAGTTTTTGATAAGCGTTACATATCCGGTGCTGCAAGCATTTACATTGTTATTATTTGCAGAACAAAGCAAACTATCATTATCTGTCTTTTGTTTTGGCACAGTATAAAAATGGTCCAATCAACAGCTATTGGTTAATATCTACCACTCCGAGTCACTATGAGTCCTCTGAAAAAGTCACTCTGAGGAACTAAGTGTAACGGCTTCGCCATTTTTAGAGTCCAATCTTCATTCACTCGAATCAGAAAAAAATAAAACCCCTAGAACTGGCACCGTGTTAGGCCCAGTGTAACGGCCAAATTTGTACAGGTTTTCTTAATAAAACTACACTCAGAACGTAAGCGACACATAATAATAAACACAACAATGACCTATAGAATCAGCTATTCGGCAATATTTGTCTATTTAGCATTGCCAACCTGGTTGAGAAAAATAATTTAAAGTGTCATAATTTTGTTGACATTTTTATCCTATTATATTTTCATGGAAAAAAATATCTCAAGGAAGAAGAAGAAACTCTCTCTACAGTGATTTCACATTATTAGCGAATTTTCCTATAGGGAATAAGCTATTACCGTAGGTCTCAGGGTAAGACTTAGCCCCGGGACCCATTTACTTTATCATTTTGATGTCCCTAGAAGCCAAACACACCATCCGTTCAAATTCATATATACATGTGTGTGTGCGTGTGTGTCCGTTAGCACGATAACTCGAGCAAAAATGATCCGATTTCGATGAAATTTGGTACAAATGTGTAAACCTACGTTTATTTGAACGAGTTCGTTAACCAGCATGATCAAACCATGGGAACGGGGTTTTATGGGGGGATTTATGGGGTAAAAATTGGGTTTTCTTATTTTTGAACCTCAAAACATAAGATTTCCCATATTTTCTCTAAACCACTTTGAAGAGCTTAAAAAACAAATAATTCTGTATATTGAAGTGTTTTTGTATGGTTGGTTACAGGGAAAATTGTAAATTAAAATTCCCATGTTATTCTTATGGAGGATAAGTAAACCGTTGTAGTTTGCTTGTTTATGCATATATTTGGATCAAACTTGCCCAATCTATTTATTTTATACTAAGCTATTAATATTTTACTAAAAAACACACTTTATTACCCTGTAAGCAGCAAACCTAGGTGCTCGTTAAACCTAATGTTATTTAAATAGATTTAATTGAAACTCAAATCAGGCAAATGGAAATTCGCTTAGTCTGCAGGTTTTCTGCGGCGGGGGTATTTTTATTTTCCTTATGTCTCAAAATGGATGCAAGCAATGGTGAATAACACGTTGTAAATAAAACGTTGTAGGTGAATAACTTAACTCTTAAATAAACAGCTTTTTGGTGACCTTCAGAATTGGCTGAAAACGAGTATATTTTCAGCCTTAGATTATAGACATGATATAATTGTAATGTATTACAAACTTGGTATTAAATTAAAGGCCGGAATCTCCAGATTAAGATTATACCAATATTTAATAGTGTTAATGCCATTTTCAAGCTTTTATTGGTGAATAACTAAGTAAACACAAAATTCGGGCAGCCATTTTGAAAAAACGCCGCCATTTTGGATTATAAAAACTTTAGGCAATGCCTCCCCATCTTATTTTAGTTGTCGGACCATAACCTACATTCTTACCAAAAGGGGTTTTCTTATCACAATTTGCAGTTTTGATATACGTAGCTCCCACACTACTTGAATGATTTTAATTTTCAGTGAACCTTAAAAATATGGCCTTACTGATATGTATATGTTGATGAGAGTGTGTTCATTAATGTTATTTGTTGCTACAGATTGGTCAGTAGGAAGCAGGTGAAGGTACAGAGACGTAGGGTGGCGTCCAGTAATCCAGTGAAGGCGCTGGCAGCTCGTACTGACCTGCGGGACACCTACGTGGAGGTCAAGACAGGGGTCGCCTCACGGGAGGAGCAGCGACTACGTGTAGAGAAATGTATGTAACTTGCCCAAAACTAGGCCTAAAATACGACCTAGATATTAAAATTTACCGAGATAACAAATTCTGCCTTCAAATGAATCATATTACTGAAGTTTTAGGTATTTAAAATTCTCTCTGAGAGCGATTTGTTGGAGTTAAGATAAGTTGAGCTCTACTGTACTTGGTATTGTATCGAAATGAAAAAAAAACCTTTTTAAATTACAGCTCTCAGTAACCAACAATGAAGATAAAACCTTGTCTTTCAAACAATAATGGGAGGTTTGACTACAAAGTCAGTATACACTAATGGCCTTAAAACTATCAAGATTTATGACAAAACATGATGTTTTTGTCATGTGTAGTAGCAAAAGCAGAGGGAAAATATAATTTTGACTCTAGCACACTCTGTGACTTATTCAACTACTTTCGATTTAACAAAAAATGGCTACAGCTGATCCATGATGATATATCTACACTGTATATTACAGCATTGACTTTTGGATACGTAAGTAGACATCTTTAATAGGACCAGCTGTTGCTTATTTCATTTTATGTTTTTGACATCTTTAACATGGGGATGGAATGACTACTTTGTCAACTGAATTGAGTAATAATTTCAGTGGCTAAGAACTCGACCCTAGCTGTGGAGGCGCTGGCAGGCCTAGCCAGCAAGGAGGACTTTGCTGGTGTCCAGTTACGCAGCACTGCGCAGACCACTGCCTCTGTACACACAGGACCGTGGCTGGCGTACGCAGACCTCATGTTGCTACAGGTCAAGGGACGCAGACATGTACAGACCAGGCTGGTGAGACCTCACTACACCAGCGTCAACCAGGGAGACTCCTACGTGCTGGTCACGCCCACTCAGGTAATAAAACACAGAATGAATATGAATATTTCCCAAAGATATTATAACATCGTACTTTTTAGTTTTTAGAAATAAGCTTTGTGCTATGTGCGTTGCAGGTTTGGAATGGCAATATTCTGTGATAATCTTAGTCTGTAAATTAGTCTTGTTAACCCTCCAACTGGTCATTAAAATTTCCCGTACTGGTAAGGTTTTTTTGACCACCGCGCAAGCATTTAGTAAATACCACATTAAACATATAAAATGGTACAAAAAACATACATATTATATATAGATTTTTTCAGAAAGAAATAACCTATTCAAAAATAATAGTTTTAATGGTGTACTTACAAGTATGTTAACAGGTATTCCTCCTATGTGGGTACAGCAATATTGAAAAAAAAATGTTTCTTCTTCTTTTAGTATATTATCTCTGGTCAAATATGTCTTATATCAAAAAATAAGATAGCCAAAATGCTCACAGTTTCATTGTCTTTCCAACTATGTATAACACTTGCTAGTTTATATAAAAAAAAAGTCTATAAAGCAAATATGTGACAAAAACACGAAGCACTTTTTCCGCACAAACACAAGACCTGCTGGACCTGTGCTGGAAACCACTGCCCCAGGCTTCTCACTTCATTTCTCCATAAAAATATTGTGTTTTAGGCCTATATGTGAATTGAAATTATTTACAAAATAAAAAATACAAGTCTTAGAATCAACTTTGGACAAAGGAGCTAACCGTTTACAAGAAGAATTCTAGTCAGAATCGTTAGCGTTATTTTCCCTTGCTCTCTTACCCCTCTTGGGTGCTCTCCAAAAGTGCTCCAACTTGTGAAAACAGCCTGGGTGCACTCCTGAGTTACATGCAGGGCACCAAAAATGACTCCTGGACTTTTTTTGTGGAGTGGAACACACAACACACATCCTGAGTTGTACTCCAGGCAATCTCGTCAATACATGGGACGCAGAGGGTCCTGCATCTCCTCCAGGACCAACGTCTGGTATCTGAGCTCTTGGGTTAGGCACTGCAACATCACTTGATAAACTTTCAACGATGCTAACCATATAGTTGTATCGTGTCATAGGCTGGTCAGTATTTTTCAGGTACAAAATATAACTGTTTAGGAGAGCCATGTCCAAAAAATTTTCAAAGATCTTCTTCCAATATTTTTTTGTAGCTCTTGTACAGATGCTGTGATATATAGACTTATCTTTGCTGTCCACACCACCCATATGGAGGTTGTACTCATTTATTAGGGATGGTTTTATAGCCTCTATTCCACTTTTTTTACTTTTTACTACACGGTCATCTGCGGGGAATCCAGTTGTTATAAGGTAAACAGGCTTGCGTTTTTTCTTTTGTTTGTAGCCAACAAGCAGAACTCCTTGCTTTCTAAAATAGATTGATGTCTCAGGTTGTAATTTAGCATCTAAAACACTTTTGGAGAGTTCTTTTGACCGCTTGTTGACGGTACCGGTAATGTAAGTTTCATTTTGAAGTAACTTTTTGGCAAGAGGTAATTTAGTGTAGTAATTATCTGTGTACAGATGATATCCTTTATTGAGTAAGTAGCATTTATTTAGTAGGTGTAAAACTACCTTTTCTGTAAATGCAATATCAGGATTTGTATTTTCAAGGAAGTCTTTACCACTGTAGAGCTCAGAATGAAGTACGTACCCGGTGTCACTATCGCACACTTCAAATTTTTTTATACCGAAGCGGGCATGTCTTTTGTTAGGCATATATTTTATAAATGTACACCTATTCTTCATCCCTATCATAGACTCATCTAATGAAATGTTCTGGTTTGGAATAAAATAAACTTTAAAATATCCATTCATTAGCTCATAGAAATGTCGCACTTTGAACCATGGATCATGTCCGAGCTGTCCTTTTGGTATATACTGTAGAGAGCTAAGATGGAACATTGATCTCAGTGCCTGAAATCTTACTAGGCTCATATTATCAGGAAAAAAAGGTAATCTCTGAGATCTAACAGTTGACCAATAATTTTCAATGTTCTGTTTGTAATTCAGACCCATATTTATAAGAAGGGCCATAAAACGCTTCATTTCCTTGATAGAGGTTTCTTTCCACCTTCTTAGTCTACTGTTTGGCGTCAATGTACCTCCATTTATAGCTGATTCTATTTGTCTGCTTGCATAAGCATTTGTTTCCCTCACCATCATACCCCAGATAACATTAGTAAAGAAAAGATAGAAATATGTAATAGGGTTGCTATTCCGGGGAGGAAGATTTCGAGGACCTGGATTTCGTACCTGAAATTTTTCTGTGACGTCAAACATTTGTTCAGGTGGGTAAACCCTAACCCAGTGTACACCCGAGCTAATCCTAGGCCCTGGCAGAGTATAATTAGGTTGGTTCAAAGGGTTATTTACCTCAGGGATAGGAGGGTCATCTGGATCTGGGTGTTCTGGAGAACTTGGCAAAGGCCTACGCAAGCCTACTTCATTAGGCCTAGGCCTAGGTCTTGGAAGATCAAAATCTGTAATAGATGTATCTGAGTTCTCATCTTCACTGTTTGGAAAGTATAATTCCCCACTCCCAGATGAAAAATCAGTCAAAGATATGTCAGAATCATACACATCAGAACCCACATCACTGTCATCAATTTCATTTTCATTTTCACTGAATACATCACTTTGTAGGTCAGATATTGGTTCAGCATCATTCAAACAGGCCCTAATTGCACTAGAATTACTTAGTTCACTCATTTTAAGTTAAAAACTAACCACAACTCACTAAAATATTCATTTTAAAGCATTCAAAGTAAAGGGTTAACAACAAAATGCGGCAGACTAGACGACGCAAGCGAACACAAACAATCATCTGAAATACAGGCTTGCCAACATTCTTTTTTTTTCAACAAATGCAACTAAACATATGATGACTAGATTGCTCAGTGTTTGCTCTTTAATACTATATAAAATACATATATATTAAACGTAAAATAACGGAGTAAATTGTGTTTTACATAACGCTTGCAAATGGGTCGCGATCGCGATCTTACCAGTAATCGCGTGACGTAATTGAGTCGCGATCGCGACTTATACCAGTTGGAGGGTTAAGATTGTCAAAAATAAATGGCTGGTTTTTGTTTCCATAACTCTATACTGTTCTTAGTCTGCTTCAGTGATATGGTCTATCCTATACTCTAATACGAGCAATGTTTGCTTGTATGTATGTATGTATGTATGCTTGCTTGCACAAAGATCTCGAAAACGGCTCCGACGATTTTCTTCAAATGTTGTAAATAGTTTATTTCTGGCCTAAAAACGAGTTTACTACAGTTAGAACTGCCAACAAAAATCTAATTACGTAGAAAAATGAAACTGAAAATCACATTTTTTTAACATTAGTCTTATGGGTTGCTAGGTAACCTTGTTGGCTGAATTAAATAACAAGGAAAAAGTAAACAAAAGACTTGAAGTTGTAGCATGTGTTCATAATAAGCCAACTACCCACAGTATACTAGCAAATTACAAATACAGTACAAAAGGAAAAACATCATTTAGCAAAGATTATACTGAAGATTACTCGATACATTGTAGTCAAGGGTAGCAGTGAGAAGTCTGGGATCTGTTTATGACGATTAGATAAGGGTATGGGCAATCCTAAAATGCTATGGGAAGGGAGGGAAACAGGTCCGTGACGTAGGAAGTGGTGAAGGAAGTAGTCAAGGCGAGCTGTCCGGAGTGTGGGAACTGTTTATGACGATTAGATAAGGGTATGGGCAATCCTAAAATGCTATGGGAAGGGAGGGAAACAGGTCCGTGACGTAGGAAGTGGAGAAGGAAGTAGTCAAGGCGAGTAGTCCGGAGCGTGGGAACTGTTCATGACGATTAGATAAGGGTATGGGCAATCCTAAAATGCTATGGGAAGGGAGGGAAACAGGTCCGTGACGAAGGAAGGTGTTAAGGAAGTAGTCAAGGCGAGCTGTCCAGAGTGTGGGAACTGTTTATGATGATTGGATAAGGGTGTGGGCAATCCTAAAATGCTATGGGAAGGGAGGGGAACAGGTCCGTGACGTAGGAAGTGATGAAGGAAGTAGTAAAGGCGAGCAGTCCGGAGTGTGGGGACTGTTTATTACGATGAGATCAGGGTATCTGCAATCCTAAAATGCTATGGGAAGGGAGGGAAACAGGTCCGCGACGTAGGAAGGGGTGAAGGAAGTAGTCAAGACGAGTAGTCCGGAGTGTGGGAACTGTTTATGACGATTAGATTAAGGTATCTGCAATCCTAAAATGCTATGGGAAGGAAGGAAAACAGGTCCGCGACGTAGGAAGGTGTTAAGGAAGTAGTCAAGGCGAGCTGTCCGGAGTGAGGGAACTGTTTATGACAATTAGATAAAGGTATGGGCAATCCTAAAATGCTATGGGAAGGGAGGGAAACAGGTCCGTGACGTAGGAAGTGGTGAAGGAAGTAGTCAAGGCGAGCTGTCCGGAGTGTGGGAACTGTTTATGACGATTAGATTAAGGTATCTGCAATTCTGAAATGCTATGAGAAGGGAGGGAAACAGGTCAATGATGTAGGAAATGGTGTAGGAAATGGTGTAGGACGTAGTAAAGACGAGCTGTCCGGAGTGTAGGAACTGTTAATAACGATTCGATTAAGGTATCTACAATCCTAAAGTGCTATGGAAATGGAGGGAAACAGGTCCATGACGTAGGAAATGGTGTAGGACGTAGTAAAGGCGAGCCGTGTGGAGTTTGGGAATGGATCTATGTGTCTCCAATACAGTACTAAGACTGCTTTCAGAGTGGACTAATGATTTTCCCCGAGCAAAGCTCGGTCCCCAGGTACTTGTACTATAATGTAATTAATAGCTGGATAAACATTTGTTATGGAAAACTAACTAGATGTATACTGTTAAAAGTTTGTACATAGATATAAACCGGCTATGATTATTCAATCGGCTTTCATGTGCAGTTGTTCATGATTTGGCCTGGGTAAATTTTAAATAAAAAATTAACAGCAGAGAAGAAAGTTTTGTTGATAGATAAAAAAAAAAACTGCCAGTTTGAGAGAAACATGCGCAATGAACACAAAACACAACTAGAGATCAAATAGTGAAGTGTTGTGTTAGTTGTAGTCAGGTCTGGTCATTGCCTCGGCTTTCTCTTTGGCAATTGAGTGCAGTAAGCCAAGTATCAGAGTTTTTAAAATTTGTATTTTTCCAAATGTTTGAATCTTTATATTTAAAATTGTATTTATTCATTGACATGGGATGAACAATTGCATTTGAATGTTTTCTTTCCGTAGGTGTTTCAATGGAATGGGCAGTACAGTAATGTGATAGAGAAATCGCGTAGTAGTGAGATCGCAAGTCTCATAGCACGAACACGCGACCTCGGCTGCAGTGCTGCCAATGTGACAGTTGTACAGAGCAGCCAACCTAACAAACAGTTCTGGCAACTACTGGGAGCAGACGACGACATTGCTGCCAACTACAAAGGTAAAATCTAAAGTCAGTTGTAACATTCTTGTCTTGGATCATCAATTAAATTCAAGATAATACAAAAGATAATACATTGGTAAGATTTTGTAGCTGCCCTACTTAAACAAGTCATTGAGGGATAGTTTGAAATTAATAACACAGATATAGGCTGTCAAACTAATTTGATATAAAATCTAGCTGTGGTTAAATTACCTATTTCCATCAATCAATTTAATGTTTTGCAGCACAATTAAAAAAATCAATGAATGGTTTGAGAGCCATGGCCTGAAATTAAATGAATGTAAAACTAACATTCTTCAATTTAAACTCAGAAACAGAGTCACAGACACCACAATCAGTAATACAAAAATTGTTAAGTTTTTAGGTCTAAATTTAGACTCAAAATTAAGTTGGTCTGATCACATTCATCATCTAAATAAAAAATTAAGGTCAACAAGGTATTCACTAAGTGTACTATCCAAGGCCACGCCGCTAGAAGTCTGCTTGACAGTATATCATGCGTATGTTCATTCTTTGCTGGCTTATGGCGTCACTCTATGGGGTAACTCTGTCAATTCTCAGAACTATTTTTCACCAGAAGTCTAAAAAAAGCTGTAAACCTTTTTTCAAAAAACATTCCATTTTAACATTACCTTCTCTTTATATATTTGAAATAGCAAAGTATGTTCATGCAAATCCTTTCTTTTTTGAAAAATATAAAATAAATCATAACTATCAAACGAGAAATAATAACAAAACTTTTCAATATCCCAAACATTCGCACACAAAATTTGAAACTGGGCCTCTTTACATGGGATTAAAAATCTACAATCATTTACCTAATTCATACAGAACTTTATCAAAATCAAATTTTACATATAAACTGAAAGAGACTTTGAGCCAAAAAGCGTATTACAAAATTCAGACGTTTTTTAAAGATAAATTGTAATAGTTTTTACTCTTGTCAGGGTATAATTAGATTAAGGAACCTAGATATAAATTGACCATGTACCAGCTTGGGAATTACTTTTGTAATTATTGTATCAGGCGTTATGTACAATAAAGCTTTGTCTATTGTCTATTGTCTATTGTCTATTGTTTTGCCACAATCGCAGAGGTTGACGATAAATGTGTCCATAATCACGGAAAACAATGATGATGTTTATGTAATCGCGGGGGATAAACAAGATTTTTGCCATGTTGCAGGAGATGATGATGATCTCCTCACCTCCATGACAAATAGTCATGATATTACCGCGATAACATTGTCAATGATAGGATTAAGCAAGGAGTCGGACTAGCCGAGGTCAAATTAGCGGTGTTCTACCGTATCTTTAAATATAACAATTTTTAAAGGCACAGAAAGTTATGCGAAATGGCATCATCTTGTGACAGATTTTACCTTGTCAGCATTTTGTAGCTTATTTGTGTTGCCAGGTGCGGAGGCGGGACACCCAGACGAGGACGAGTTGTACGAGCTGGCTGTGAACGACACAAACAAGATTTACGAGCTGGAGGGGGACGAGTTGGTGCCTCGTGAGGACTGCTGGGCCAACATCCCTCGGATAGAGATTCTTAGTCACAACAAAGTTTTGGTGTTTGACTTTGGAGCGGAGCTGTACGTGTGGATGGGCAAGAGCGTGTCCCTAGACAGACGGCCTACAGTGCTCAAGTTGGCCCAGGAGTTGTGGAACCACGGCTTTGACTATTCTGAATGTGATATATGTCCCATTACACAGGCTGAGCTGCTGGGCACAAGAACAGGTAAAGATAAATTCTAATTGTACTATTATACATTTAGGATCATGTCTGTGCTGAAATTTCGAATTGGTTGTTGCTAACAGTAGTTGAACAAAATCAATCAACAACTCTTAAACAATTGGTGATACTAATAAATGTTTGCTAGTGTTCACGCCAATTTCATTTATTATGAAAGAATTGTAAACATACTTGAAAGTCACCTAGATCCCACAAATCTTGCTCTGTCAGCCTCACACCAATATCCGAGAAACTAGCCACTAGCTTAGCTGTCTTCATCCTGACACATATCTGTGTTCTCGAGGAGATGTTATTTGTTTGAGTTCATAAATCTAGATTTTATATCCAACCAATTGTTTGTGGCAATTGCTTTGATAATGTTATAAACAAAGTTCAGAGCTCACTGTTCACAAAAGAAAATGTCGGTCTATTAGAAAAATAAAACTGTTCTACTGAAAAATCTGCCTGCACTAGTCTTACAATCATGTAGTTTACTGGGTTCGCAATGCTCTTCACAGGCAAAGACAAGGCTGACGTAGAGAAGAGTGCTGCCAAGAGACCGGACTGGTGTCTGCTGGCCAAGGTGACTCAGCACAGGGAGACCGTGTTGTTCAGGGAGAAATTCCTGGACTGGCCGGACTTCTCCAGAGTCATCCAGGTCAAGAACCGGGATAAGGATAAACAGGTAGCGTTTACGAGCAAGAAGTTAAGTGTTGTAAGTTTGTGTGTTGTTTCACCTGTATATTGCAAAGAAGTGAGAGGGGTTGTTTTATACATCAGTAATTGGTAGTATGCTATTGTCAGTACCAGCTGTTCCTTTGGGAATTGATGCTATCCAAGGAACGCATATTTCAAGATTCTTCTGTTTAGATCTTGCATTGTTTATGTCAGGTATTCGTGGTAAAGGTTTCTAGGCCAGAATAGGTTTGACTTTGACAGGAAGAGCAGGCCTACCTATACAGTAGGCAATTCTTCTAAATTGAAAACCCATTTAGGAGACATACAAAATTTAAATATTCCATGGTTTAACAAACCAAGCCCTAACAATGTGACAAATAGTTTTGTTGCCAGTGTTTAAGATGTAAAAGCTTTACCGCCTGACTGCAATATCTCTCAACTCACAAGATAAGGAACCGGTAACTCTTCTATCAGTGGTTTTCAAAATCCAGGGTCAGGGACCCCCAACTTTAAATTGAGATAATTCCCCTCCCTGAGCATCATTTTGTTTAGATTGGTTGTGTTGTGGAACTTAGAAATATTACGGCAGTGGATGATATATGGTTGTGTATGTGACAGGTGGATGGTCCAGTGGAGCTGAAGCCATGTGATGCCCGGGAGATGGTCGACTGGTCACCTCTGGAGCCTGACTTGCAGCTGGAGGGAAGCCACTTGGGCCGAGGACACAAGTACTATGACGTTGAGGTAGGATCAGCTGCTACATGTCTCTCATGGCAACAGTACTGTCCTGCTAATTATAACTAGTTACGACTGAACCCGGTTTGGATTAGCTAAAAATTCAGAAAGATTGCATTATAAAACTAAAATAAAGTATTTTAAATAGCCGTATATTGCTCTTGCAGTCATAACAATACTGTGATGATCTTACTTCAATCACAGAAATGTCCATTTTTATCCACCACGATAGGAGCAACATCTGTCATCACGATTCTCTTACTATACAACGTCTTTTTAATAGAAAACCGACTGAACACCGCTTCGCCATAAGCTATTGGAGATCATTTTAGATTTTCCAGTGCCATGCAAAATTCACACTCTTTTCCCCAATCATTAAATTATTTGTATGTAAGATTCCTGGTGTTCCTAGTTTCCCAATTGTCTAGACACCCTGTTTAGTATTTCAGAGCACTTAGCTTTTTTGTTATTTTTAAGGTAGCCTAAATGTCTTTTCTCGCTAATAGATTCTTCATATTAGCCATACGTTTCAATTAGCTCCGACTGGTGTGTTTCATTTGGCTGTTTTAATCAGTTTCTAAAGGGAGAATAACGTTTTTGATTTTTAAAGTATACCTTCATCAATTGAGTCTGAAGGTTAAGGTTCAGAATTGAGGTTTAGGATGGTCGTAGTCATAGTGTGCAGGCTAACTTAGTCAAACAAGCTTTATTTGCAAATGAATCGTTGTTGTGTAATGTCGTCTAAGAGCAAAGATTCAAGATATTAAAATTATCGATATACCAATAAAATTTCAAAATAAACATGTAGACACGTAATTATTTGTTCAAACCCATCAATCATAAGAATATTGTCTTTGTCTAGATAATTCAGATCCATTACAACATGGCTGATATTTCAATAATGTTGTTTTTATTCATTATCATTGTGTTTTTCTTATTGGTTCGTTACCAAGTGCGTTAATGAATGTTTCAGACTCACAGGCACTATGAGATCGCCACGCTGGGTGTGAAGGTGTGGCATGTGCAGGAGTTTGACAGTACGGAGCTGCAAGACAGCCTAGGTCAGCTGCACAGCGGGGACAGTTACGTGGTCAGATGGCATTACTCGGTGACAGTGTCTGGCCGAGAGTTGACCGGACAGCCGTCACGTCACTCCACCATGGGTAGGGACAGAGTGATGTACTGGACGTGGCACGGCAGCGACGCTTCCATCAACGACAGCGGTGCCGCCGCTCTGCTCACGGTAACGATCTTGTCACACGTATCTCAGAACTTAAAATATCATTGACACTAAATAGTAGGAGCAGACTTCTTATTGTGTAAGGTCTCCTATTTCGATGTGTTGGCGACGTTTGAGTGCACTGGTGTCGTTTCTCTTTCATCTGTGGGATTTTAGGATTTGTACTTGAATTTGATATGAGAGGAATTCTGCAGAATTACATTACAATGGTACATTCTTGGTCTTCCAATGAGAGCTGTGTCAAATCGGTATTTATTTACAATCCCTACAAAACCATACCGATTTGACACGGTTATTACTGGAAGTTCGAGAATTCATTGATAACACCAGCTGCTATGAATGAAGTCTGTTTAGTGTGAATTTGTATCTTGGTCCTTAGAATTACATCATGTATCAGTACCAAGATAGTGGTCATGGTCTGGAAAGTTTACTAGGGTGGTATGACAAGGGTGTACCCACTGGAATTAAAGCACCAAACAGTGTTGGAAGCCTAAAACTGCCCAGTTGTAACCCAGCCATTGTCTCATCCACACGACTCAGCTGGTTTTGTAAAGTTCTGTCAAATAGTTACATTGTGACATATACCAGTGTATACATTCATTGTAACACGTACTGGGAAGCAAGCTGGTCTAGTGGTAGAGCGCCAGACTTTGGTGCTCGAGGCCCCCGGTACAAATCCTGCCAATCTCCAATGGATTTTATTCAAGTGATAAAGTCACAACTCTCTAGACCTAGCCTCAAGTAATGTGGAAAATAATTCTGAGCTAGAAGTTAGAGAAAGAAAACTTATAACATGTACAAACAGTTTGTGTAACATTGCAGGTAGAGTTGGACCAAGAGAGAGGACCGCAGCAAACAATCAAGCAAGGTGCGGAGCCACCAGCCTTCCGCAGACTGTTCAATAGCGGCCTGACAATACACAGAGGTCGACGTTGTGACTCTGACGATCGTACAGGTGACTTACTTTCCATGGTAGACTAACAGAGGTTACACGTTGTGGAAGAACTTTAATCAATTATCAGTTAGAGTAACAACAGTTTGGTGATTTTATGGGTGGAATCAGCTGGTTACTTGGAAATAAATTGCAAAGCTGAAAGAGATTGTGATCTTTGCCGGTAACAGTTCAAACCCTGGTTGTGCTTCTATTTAGCATTGAATTTTCCTCAGAAAACACCTTCAATTAATGGCCCAGTAAAAAATCATAACTGAGCACGATCTTTAGCAAGTCTAACCTCTCGACCTCTGAGACGAATTTCGATAGCAACACTTGGCATATGAAATTTAGTGAGGGCCAAAACAGTTATGATCAAAATCATCAACGTGTTTTGGTTAAATGTTAGTTTTGTTCTAAACAATTTGTTTTTGTTGTCTACAGATAGGTGGCGGCTGTATATTGTGCTCGGAGAAGAAACTGCTGAAGCAATGCTGCTAGAAGTTCCTTTACATTGTGAGTACTTCATAACAAAAATATGCCTAACAGTAAGTTGAGTAGTCTTATATTGTTTTTAAACTGTACAGATAGTGATTGTCAGATATTGTATTAGGATACTCAATTTATTAAATGTTGAATTAATATAGTTTGAAAACTCAGTGAACTTCCGTTAGTCTGGCATCACCTCACATTCTCATAGGTATGCGGCTTACGGTTTCCTCTTAGAGTTTGTGATTCTTATCAGCTTTATGTATAAATATAAATAACGTAGTTTACTTGGAATAATTTAAGAAAGTAATATTCACTTTAAAAATTGGATTAAATATTTATTTAATTCTTTTATTTTCAGGTCGTCAGTTGAGAAGTAGAGGTTGTCTGGTTTTGTTGGACACAGAAGACGATAAAGCATTCATTTGGAGAGGAGCCCATGCATTGGACCACACACATAAGGTGCGGCTGTTACTATGATTCACACTTCAGTTTCGCTATCGTAAAAACTTACAGTACCATGTGTAATTTACAATTTCTTGGGTTAATTTCTGGGAAAAAGTAAATAGAAAGTCTTAACTGGTAATTGCTTTGCAGGTTGCCGTAGCAGCAGTGGAAAGGTTAAAAGAGCAACTTCCCAGTGAAACAGGTTTGACTGAAGTGGAAGAGCTTGAAGTGGAAGAAATTAGTGAAGGAAAAGAACCAAAACTTTTCTTTGACGGTAAGTTATAGTTATTTTGTGTACTTTTGTATTTGTGGCAAAAAGTGGTTTTACTTACACCTATGCTATTGTAAATTCATGCAACAATGCTGCAGATACTAAATTTGGTTTCATCATGCTCTCTAGTGTAAAATACTCCTTTCTATACTCCTAGATGTAATTGAGATGTTTTTTTTTCAAAATGCGCTTGATATTGTTGAAGCATTTTTTTAATCGTTCAGTATAACCAAATCTGCACATGTTTAAAGAATATTTTAGTAATTTAACTACAAAAAATAAAATATGCATCTTCATGTTGCATCACACAAGATATAAGTTCAACATTCACCTAATTATCTTACCTTCAAAAACTTCCTATTGGATTAAGGCAAATCTATTTATCAATCCATGTTGCGTTTGGTCCTCAGCTCTTGGCGGCCACAACAGACAGATGTACCACTCGCTACTGAGTGTCCCCGCTAGTCAAGCCCCCACCACCCGCATGTTCCTACTGACAGGAGTGTCGGGGGCCTTGACTGTCTGCCCCGTAACCCCCGTCTGTGGTCACTCTCAGTTGGCCTCCCCATTCCCATACACACAGGAGACGCTGTACGACGCACGTCAACCAGGTACAATACTAGTCAATCTGTTAACCATTCTCTCTCTTAGGCATACAAAACTCAAGAACATGTTTGTAATTTAGTGAGGCTGTTTACTTACGAGCCTTTCCCTTCTGTAAAACTGGTTAGCCGAGTTGTTGCTGGTGTTTGCCTTTTCTCGTGATCTCAAAATGTTTTAAGGTTGCCGGTATTATCCTCAGACAAACTAAATTACATTGTCTGACTAAATTACACAACCAGGTAAACTGACACCATTACCATTCATGTAAAAAGCCAAAGTAATTTTATCAGACAAGTTTTTCAACAAACGAGTTGAGGTTAACATAGAGAACTGGGCAGGATCAATCCGAGTCTTACAACAACTAGACGACTATTTTCAGAAAGAGTTGCAGACAAATGGCACCAAAGTAAAATTTAATTGTTTTGTGTGTTTTGGCAGCCCTGTTCCTAGTGGACACAGGCGCATGTGTGTGGTTGTGGCAAGGCTGGGTGTCCGAGGCCCAGGCGGAGGCCGAGGTAGGTGTGAGGTGGCAGAGTGAGCGCAGGGCTGCCATGGCGACAACACTAGAGTACCACAAGCTGCGACACAGTGGTGCCAACCTCGCAACACCTCCACCACGGCTTGTGTGGGCCGGGCTGGAGCCGCTGGAGTTTACCAACCTGTTCCCAACCTGGGAGTGTCACGATGTGGTCACCGAGATCAACATCACCGTGAGTTAAACCTATTGACTAGGATACTGAGGTAGACATCTACAGGGTGTTCAAAAAAGATGAAGATATAATTAACGTAGTGATTCCTTTGCAAACAAAATAAGCAAATAAGTTTATATAAACGTATGTTCTATCTCGTTCCGTTTAGTGTGTGTATGTGCATAACTCCTTAATGGTTTGAGCTACATCGTTTAGACTGCAGAAATGTTCATCCTATCAGCCGCTATTTTTGTGCAAAATATAAAGAAAAACTTTTAAACTGTTTTAAAATAGCTACCATTTTGAAATTATTTGAGGGTTCAACCAATACGCTAAAATTCATATTTAGCACAAAAATAACGTCCAAGAAGATTAAACCTTTTGCAGGATTTCAACGTTGTGTTTAGCAGTTGTGAATGTTTTTGTAAAAAACACATAGACAAGCGCTAAATGGACACAGAGGACATATTTTTAAATTAACTCTGTTGCTTTTTTTGACTCATGGACGTCATTGTATCACACGTAAATTATGTCCCCCACCTTTTTTGAACACCCTGTATATGGACCAGCTGGCACAACAATTTTTTGTATGAAACAAGAATATACTTGAATGAGCCAGTCACTGAGTGCAGTAGTGTCTAAAATTCTTATTTCTGCAGTATCAAACTCCATTTTTTTGTACAGTATTTGGCGTTTCTTGAACCAGCGGGCCAATTAGATAAAAAAACCTACCTAAAAAAAAGTAAACGTTTACTGCAAAAGTGTATTGTATACCACAAAATGGAGAAATTGGAAGTAATCTTGGCTAACTGGACAGTGAAGCTGAGAATTATATATACCTGTTGATTATTTATTAATAGCTTTTCAGGAGATTAGCTCACGATAATAAACAAAAACAAAACCAGATTTTAAATTAAATTTTCAAATTTTGTATAAATTTTATTTGACATAGGAAGTGTATTTTGTATTTGGGAGACTTGCCAGAATATCAAGATCTACTGAATAAACAGACATTCTAAAGAGGGACAGCATTTGTATCGGAAGACCATTCTTTCTGTACTCTTTTGTCTGAGGCTGGGTTACCATTTATTGTGTTGTGACAGGATGGCCATGCTGGAGAGTTGGTCCCTGTGGAGGCTGAACTAGAGAGGTTGACTCAGAGCACATTCCCTCCCTCACAACTCCTACAACGACCGTTACCAGACGGGGTTGATCCTACTCGTCTGGAGGACTATCTCGCCCCCCAACACTTCCAAGTAAGTCACAAATGTTTCTAAAGTCCTGGGTTCGAATCCTGCCAATCACCAATGGATTTTATCCAAGTGATAAAGCTGCAACACATAGGCCTAGCCTGAAGTAGAGCCTAGCGTCCTAGGACAAAAAGTCGAAAATGTTTAATATCTTACCTGTAGATTTTTGTAACTTTTGATGTCTTTATTTTACAAGGAATATTTTAAATGTACTTAAATGATATTTACATGGTAAGATGTATGTGTTGAGCTGAAAATGATTGGACAAAATATACAGGGTGTCACACTGAGAGGTTGCTATTTTTTTATTAACATACCAGACATATAAATTATAAAACATTACAGTTGAGTAGTTTCAAGTTTGTAGCGTGACCGATTAAAATGCTGCTAAAAATAGCATCCTCTACATGGGACACTTTGTATATATAAGAGTTGACAAAGCTTTTGTACTTTTTAATGGTGAATAAAAGCATTTTTTTGAATATTTTTTTCTGCACATGGCAACATTTGCTTATTTAAATGGCTTCTTTCTCTTGTAGGAAGTTTTGGGCCTTTCAAAGGAAGAGTTTTCCGAACTCCCGGCGTGGAAGCAGAACAAGTTGAAGCAGGAGAAGGGTCTGTTTTGACGCCAGTTCGGCTGAAGTTACCGTTACGAAGCTGCATTTATCATAGACTGAGATCCAGTCCTACCGTTTGTGCCAATTTTCTGTACAGCCTTACATCTCTTGTTTGTGTTGTTATCTATGTGAATGAGTTTTCATATGTTGATAATTAAGTCGACTATAAAGTATTCTGTACCATGTTTGTAATTTTTGTATCATGAATGTGTTTTTTGTAGTTGACATTTTTTACAGTTTGATGTATCTATTTTTTGTGTAAATCACCGTCACTCACAGAGCTTAATTTAATGCCTATAACTGTAATTTCAGTCCAGGCTGTGATTTGATGTTCAATTACCTATTCAGAATTTCAAGTTTCTTTAGGAGTGCCTTTAATTAACAATATCCACGATTGGTGATTACCTCCTAAAGTTGTACCACTTTGGCATATGGTTTCCAAGTGTAGATCGCTCGGTTTATTTATGTTCGCAGAAGTATTGTAAATTTTGTTATTAGTATCCTAGAGAGTAATATATTTGAATATTTTGTTGATATTTTTTGTTGTTCGATCTCTTATCTAGTTAATGTGCGTTTTCTTGTATTGGCATTTTTCTTTGTTTCCAACGGCTTTTGTGTCGATTAGTTAATGGTGGTGTCTAACTATTGTACCAGGTCAGATGTGCAGCAACTGTTTCTGACTGGTAATTTAAGACTGATATTCACTTATAGTTTTTAAATCCAATACTTGCCTAAGGAAGAGAATGATGGATGTGATGGATGCAACAAAGAAAGATGCCACGGATCTCGTGTGCCTCTTCGCACTGCCTTCAATCTTTTCATACTGTTGGCTTTCAATCTATAACGTCTTTTTCACGCTTTTTTGTACTAAAATGTAAAAATGTATTTGTATATTTAAAATGTAAATTAATGTTTAACTCTATCTGTTTGTTTTGTAACTTATGTATTTTTAATGAAAGACGTCTGCAAAAATGTATTTTCATTCACCTTGTGTCGCCCTGTTTTATGAGATGTTAATTTTTAAAGCGTTAGACTATTATTGATTGGTGATGATTCGTTTATAAAAATAATTTTCCTACAGTCACCCGACAAAGTTGGCTTCCCTGTACTGTTTATAGTACAGAAAGCTGCTAATTGCTGCATATTTATACTTTGCCGTACGGTTTATACTTTGCCGCACGGTTTATACTTTGCCGCACATCAGGATTCCAACCAAACAACACAAAACAGCGTGGTTTTATTATGCACGTAATCCGTGTACGCTTGGAAATAGGTTGGCAACACTTAAAGATAATAACACTATGAACAGCTGATTGACTATTATAACTACGATTTAACCTGTCATTTCGTGTTTATAGTTTTGGTATTTCTGAACATTCTGGACTTTTCTTTTAAACGTTTTTAAAACATTCCTACGGTCTTAATAAACAAGAAAATGCCTTTAAAGCATTTTTTTTAGGCGCGGAAACCACTTCAAATTACAAAAACATACGGAACTATATTCTCAAAAGACGGAGCCATTGAGTATAAACCTAACCTGTGGGTTAGGTTTATACTCAATGACGGAGCACATTTCTTGCCGAGGAAAAATAGCGGAGTGATACGGACCACGGGTACTACTTTCTCCAGGGCACCATTTGTGTAATTGTGTTGCTAGCTGAACCTAAAAACGTGTTGTATAGTGTTTGAAAGACTAATTATTTATGATTTATAGTGACTGTAGGAAAAATATAATGTGTAACACGAGTGAAAAAGGCCTTTGCTGCACTCGAGATCATTCCGCACTCGCCTGCGGCTCGTGCGTAAACATTGCTCTCGTGTGCAGCAAAGTGCCACTTTCACCACTAGTTACACAAATAACTATTGCAATGAGCAGAACAAAAAGCCCGATTGAGAGACTTCCACAGCAATATAAACTTTGAAAGTCCTAGTAACCATTTTTTTCATTTCTCTCATACTGTATTACTTTGTTTAACAAAAGCTTCATCGCTTAAAGAAATTAAAAGAATGGAAAAGTAAGAGAGCTGTCTGCAGGAAGTAGTAGTAAATAAAATAATATTGTAATGTAATTCACTAGTCTCAAAAATTACCCAGTTTTGGGGGGCAAGATTGTGGTTTATAAGCCAGATGAAGTCTGTCAGTTGAATGCAGAAACAGAGCCGTTGAGCCCGAAAATGAGACTTTCATGACGTATTGTGACGGATAATTTTCATCAAAATGCAAATAATCACACCTTTTTTGGAGGCAAAAGCACTTGGCTTAGAAAATAGAAATAAGTTTTGTTTTAAGTGTAAAGATTAACTGTAAAATAATTACCACAAAGGCGACTATACTTCCCATTTGAAAATTTTTTAGCTACCTCATACCAGTAGTCCCTCATAACCAAGAAGGTTGCCGCAAACCGATTTCAAATATCTCAAATGGTTGAAAAGTGAAAGGAGGTTCAAGTTGTATAGTTTTAATTCATTGGAGATCAACGATTTTTGTAAAGATCAACAGTACAAAAATGTATATATGTTTATTACTTGTCTTGATCACTTTTCAACCAATTGTACCTTTCACCCCCCCCCCCCCCCCCCTCTATGCAATGTCAGACCAGGGAACATAAAGAACACCAAGCAATGGTAATGGCTGTATTTAACAAATTATCATAATCATTAACTGGTGGGTAATAAATTATATCTTAAAAAACATAATAACAACTGACTGTTCGTCTAGAGAGTCCGAACTGATGCGACCGTTTACAAAAAGGAACACTAGAGGACAGTCCAGTCGTAACAGAATAAGTTATATACAAAACTTTACAATAGAAACCACTATTTGACAGCGCTACAGCGAATGTACACAAAATATATTACACTAACTAGACATGTAGCGTATTTACAATTAGTTATTTACATGTATTTATATAGCTGTCTAGGCTACAAGGTATATAAGTACACTTGGTACTATTTTGTGCATTATGAAAAAGGTGTGATAACTTTATAACTGGTTTTATTTTCCTCGTAAATATACGTTTCGGTAGAAAAACATAGACAGTAATACAACTCTTAGTTAAGGTTTGACTTATGAAATTAGTGTAAACCCACTTAGGTTTATGAGGGCCTAGACCTGTAATTAGGCTTATATTTAACCATCCGTCTGTATATTGAATCACCAACCGTCAAGTTACAAAATCAACTGAATGAGGAAAATAGAAGCAGCTGTAACAATATACAGGTAAAAATTTCACTTGAAATCGTACAAATAATAGATTTAAAGCAATCTAACATTGTGTATAGAAGCAGGATGATACAAAAAGCTAACATACCTTCTTAGATTATCACATTTCGATACATTCAGGATATATATACATGTTATTGAGACCATAGGATGTGGGTTCGTTCGTTCGATAGGTTTCAATGGGCTACACACAAATTCTATCCACTCATTTTAACAGTACAAAAATAGGATAATATCATTATTCATTATGAATAATTCTATTTGAAAAAACTAATCTAATTTTTACAAAAGATTTAAGTTGTAATGCAAGAAAATTTTATAAGTATATAAACTGATTTCATATTAAGATAAATTCATCGAACATCATTCTGTCACTTAATAATAAAAAAGATTGTGATATTTTCATGTAAAAAATATTGTTGGAACTATTGTTTTATAAATACTAGTAATATATTTATATACTTTTTAATTCCAACCGTAAACATCTAAACAAAATGGTAACAATGTTTGCCGTCAGACTTGTACGATAGGCTCGTATAAAAATCCCAAAAACAACCACAGTCGATTTATTCCTTATCAAAATCGGAGGAGGTCGATATTTCAATAGATAAAACACATTTTTAGGGGACAGTTCTTAAAATCACAAATTATAAACGTATGGGATTTTCTAGGGGTATCTCAACTTATTAATGTAGGTAACATATGGGTTTTTTATATATCTGATCATAATTTTTTTAAATCTGGTTAATTAGATTCCCACAAAACACTTCTCGCCAATAAAAACACTGACTAACCCATATCGTAATAAGACCAGTATTGTGTTTTGAACCTAACGAAATGTTTGTGGAAGAACACAGACAGAAATGATCTCGGGCTATATACATACAACATACATGGGACAAGTTGAGCAAATGATAAAGGTAGGGCAACCAAAGTGGAATGTTTTGAGAAGGAACCGATGTTATAATGTGGCGAGAATTCTGGTGAAGCCGACTGCAGCTCCGATGAGAGTCTGTCCGATGCCCCACATGACTGCGTACGCAGGCATCATCTTGGTGGCACTAGCGCGGTAGACCAACGCGACGGCGGCACTGCTCATGGCCCCACACGCCAACGGGGTCAATGTTCCCATAAAGATTATTATTACTGGAAAAAACCTACAAAGTAATGAAATTTTAATTAATTTTATTAGACAAAATTTGTTTTAAAAGCAGTATGTACTGAGAAACGCTGGATCAATAATAGTAGTTTACGCAATGATTGCGTAAAGATAGTGTTAACGACACAAGTAGAAAATTTAAAATTTAAAAACTTCTAAGAGTGTCGTTAACCCTATTTACACGAGTTGCGTACACTACTTTACCTATGACCTGAAGGAAACAAATTATCACAAGATCGTAATGTATTCTAAAACCATGTAATTAATGATTATAGGTAGGGGCTGTTACTCACTTGCCATAATGGTGTTTACGGAGTGTTGTGAATGCGATGATGGATGCGATCGTGTGGACCAACATGGAGGAGAAGAGGGACCACAGGAACACGTTGTACCACATCTCTGTGGACATATAATAAAATACTGTAGCGTACCTACTAATAAACACACAACAACAATTTGCAACATATCTACTTTCATACGCTTTTATTTTTTACCCTCAAAAAGAAGTGGGAAATTATTTGATTATCAACTATACTCAAGGCCAACAAAACAAAAGTAGCAGAGCACTAAAAATAGCATATATTTTTGACACATTAATACACAATAAGTCTAGTTGGTTTCTGTACTCAGAAGTACAGTACACTCCTGATTATCCAAGCCCCGGTTATCCGAGGTCGGTTTTGGCCTAAATATATATTTTTATTTTCAGTAGGAAAACAATAATTACTTTATTATAGTATGTTTCTATTTAAAGAAAACGTAAAAAAAAAAACAATTAATTTGTGATTTATTGAGACGAATACAGTACTTGGAATAACCATTAAGTATAATTTTAACGTTAAAATGAACCGCAATAACCTTAAGAATAAAAATTAAAAGTTTTATGTTGGCCGGCTACCGATGACAAACTGGACTAGACGACGACGTCTGCAGAACGTAAACAATAGCAGTGTTAGTCTTCTTTATTACCATGGTTTGATGTGGACATGATTTTGTCAAGTTATAGATCAGGTAAAACTTAAACAAAATGTAATTTTACGCTTTTTAAACTAGAAAGATCCACGATTTGTTGTGTTTTAAATAATGTTGGTTTATCATGATTATAATAAAACTGTGTTTAAAAGCTATTCAAGACCATTGAAGAAGTGTTGAACTTGTTTGTTGTGTTATTTTTACTTTAACAATACTACGTTATTTGGAAAAAAGTGTGGCGAGACGGAGTAGTATGAGTGTAAATGAAGATACCTGGACCCTATATATCTTCCTCTTACCACCACAAAATCACGCACATTTCCTGTCGTTCAACTCTACTGCAAAGAAGCTAACTACCTTGTCAAAATGCACAATAATACCTTAGCTGCATATCAAAGCCAGCTTTTATGTTGTTTAATATATATGTAGTGAACAGAGAAATAATTATATATCTGGACTTATTCTGATTCGTGAAAATAACTAGATTTAGCAAAAGTGAATTCTAATATTAATCGTAGAAATTTGGAATATTAATTACCAGACCACGACCAATTGGAGAACCTAATAAATTACATAATAAATCACTAATTTACCCTAGCCTACACCCTTCCCCAACCCCTACCTAATTATCAATTATAGTTTTAGTCTAGCACTTATCCGAACGTTGAAACACCGCCAGAGGTTCACACGACACTACGACTAGTCCGTCCCTTGCCGCGCGTGCTTGCTTCGGAGAGACTGCCCACGCACCTAACTGTGTCAGATGACTTGCGCGAGTGTACTTGTAGCGAGTCGCTACAAAAGGTTGCAATTTTTAATTTGCTAGAGGAGTGTACACTTTGTAACTCTTCCAATAAATTACTTCTCTCTTACTTATTTAAGTTAATTTGAAATGAAACTTCACAAGCCACCACAACCAAATATACTATTAGGGCCTAGTAGAATGACGGTAATGATTTGTTTTACTTACCGGGGAAAGTGACCAAAGGGTCACTGTGCTCCATCGTAATGACACTGATGATGGTCTCCAAGTCAAAGTCGATCCGATCATGTCTGTCGTGAGGCCGGCCATTGCTGGACATTCTTCTGCCGTGCAGTCACAGTCACCCACACCGAGAGGAATCATGTAACGTATCGCAGCTGCTCACTCGCTCTACAAATCAGCTGCTTCCTGTAAAACCAAACAAACACATTGTAACACAGACGTTTCATTGAGCTTGAAGAAAAAAACTCAGTGTACTAGTCTGTCTTTGACTATTTAATTTTCAAAAGAACTTGAGAATTTAAAATAAGCATTGGGAATCTATTAGAAATTTTGATCTAGGCCTACCGGTATACAATTTGTATTTGAGTTTTAAAAATTTGATGTTAGTTAGGTAAGTTAATTTTATTTCTTAAATTTTTTTCTTGTCCTAGCTTAACTTATGTCAAAGAAATTTAATCCGTACAGTAAGTATTTCCATAAAAGTCAAGTGATTTACGAAGAATAGGAAACTACACCCAAGAAACCTTTGTTAAGTCTCACATTGAAGGAATCAATTATTCACAGTAACAGGGTTTGTTTAAGTTTAAGGGAAACAAAAAAAACCTGCACAACGTCAGGCCTTTTAACTCTTCATTTTCTTTGGTACCGGTAAATATAATTGATGTTATTGTGGAGGTTAACAGTGTGAGTATTTCCATTTGTTAAAAACAAGCTTTGAGTTGAGTTTTTAAATTCATTGAACATTAAGTTATGAATGTCATTAAGTTAGTTTTGATGTAGGCCTAACTTAGGCCTAATACTAGATAATAGCTCAATTTCGAGCAACAGGTCCAGGCCTGTCAAACACACACTTTTAAACATTTTGTGTTACACTTAAACATTTCCGAACCACTAAAGTAGTCGTTGAAGTTGAAACACAAAACGTACAACCATTTACAACAGAGCCTAAGTTAAACGCTAGTCTCAGACCTGTTGCAAAACAAAGCAACAGCTTATTTATTAGGCCTGTTTATTATTGCAATGGCTTGTTGTGATGGGTTTCCTGTTCGAATAAATATATAAGTTAAAATAATTTTTAGTTTTATTACAGCTCCGGAAATGAAAGCATGATTTAAATTCAGCTGGACCAGCTTAACTCAACCATAATAACACATCTCCTGATGCTGACAAAAGTAGCTCTTTCCTCCCCTCAGCTAATTTTGCCTTGACAAAATTAATAGGGAAAAAGAGCTCTTACAGCGGTTAACTTATTGATTAATCATGGCACCCTCTATTTATATTGTCAAAAAAGATCCATGATAGCAACAAAAACTAGCCGCCTAGTTACAAAAATTCAAATAAGTTTAGATTAAAATCATAACTTATCTCTTACGACAATTTCCACACACTAAACCATACTATGTAGACTAACAACAAAACACCGATAGGTCAAGATCTAGAGAACAAGAACAATGAGGGAATCACAATATAGGCTAGGCCTAAGTTAGTGGTAGACAAGTAAGTTTTAATTAACCGTACATATTTGCAAAAAAAAGGGCTGCACTTTACGTCCTACACTCATTCATTGAATGAAACAATCGATATTTTCATTTGGTTGTTGCATTTAATGAGTGTAGGCTAGGACGTAAAGTGCAAAGCGTTTGAGTATGACAGTGTGCCTGAAAGTTGGTGATGTAGCTTATTGAATTTTAATAAACAAAGCTAGTTCTATAGTGTGTGATAAACAGAATTTACACATTTTGTGACACTTGAAGGCTAAGTAATTGTAGCCCACCTACCATATCTTAAATAACAATTCTGGCAACATAAATCAAGTTTCCAGATTCTAAATAATGTATGTGATCGATATTTTAGTTCGCCTAAGTAAATTAAGTAACCTACAATGATTACGTACATTTTTTGTTAGGCTACCTAATAGATTATCGGATGGTAGAAAGAGGAACCTCCCAGCACTGAATCATTGTTTTCTTTCAGCCATAAGCTTAACCTGAGTACTTACCATAGGAGTTCGCTAAACATCATCCGTACAAATTAAACGTGTAAATATATTTTTAACATTCAAACACCATAGTTTTATGGGATATTTTGCAATAAAAACACTTTATAATATTAAGACATGTTAAAATTGCTCGAAGAAAACTTGCTGCAGACTACAGACAGCTCACAGCTAACAGAAAAACGCAAAATTCATGCGCAGTCAACCAATGAAGACTTGTACAGTACAAAAGTAAAAAAGCTAGTAAAAATGCCAAGGAATAATAATGTAATAATGTGCTTAGGTAAAGCACGGCCACCTTTAACTTTAACTACAGGCTGCGGCCAGGTAGAATTGGCAACGTCAAAAGTGGTTTTGTCACTGTTGTCTATAGTGCCAGACCAGACGTCCCATAAGATAACATGCATGGCAGACCGCAGGTGACACCAGCTCATTAATCATTAAAGCGTATTAAGCATATTAAGCGTATTAAGCGTATTAAGCGTATTAATCATTAAAATTAAACTTTATGAATATAAATTTATTGAAAGATTGAAAATAAAAACTTATAGAATTGAAAACAAAAACAATATTTAAACCGAAAATAATTTTTTATTTTTTTGTAAGTGTAGTCAGTATTTTCATAGCCCAGCAACCAGGCATTCATGTTCTTAAAAATACACAAATTACCATTAGCTGCATCCAAACAAATCAGCTGTTACAAATGGTTACAACCCTCTTTGCGATGTTGCCACTTCGAAGGCCACGGCGTAGAGTTAAAGGTGGCTGTGGGTAAAGGCACGGATTTTGTTGTCTATCAAATCTTTTTTAGGAGAAGCCCAAAACCCCCAAGAGTCCCTTGAGCACTCTTTCTTTATAGAGGATTAGGCATCCAGAGCTTTCAAAAATAAAGTTAGAGTTCCTTCGCCAAAACATAAGAGGCCTATTATCTATGACTGGCGTACTTAAAATATTGATAGATTATGAGTCTCCATATTATGTTCTTTGTTTGACTGAGCATTTTCTGAATATAGTAATGAAATAGAAATAGTACATTAAAAACAAAAACGGAACAACTCTAGCTGCAAAATGTCATTCTGCAGATCACCTATGAAATTAAGAGGGAGGTTCAGGTATATGGTGCCACCCAGACATGGATTGTGAACCATTAGATATTGTAGTGAGTTTGTCGAGGAGGTTGCTATGTTTGCGAGCTGGTGGCTGTATTTATTTACAATATTGCAAATATACCCATACGTCCACGTGTTGCAATATTGTTTACATCAAGCTGTTGATGGTGGCAGCGTACATACCACCATTGAGTCAGTATCATAAATTTCTGGATCTGCTAGCTGAATGCTTGACTAAGTATCATAATTAGCACCCATCCATGGTACAACTATAATCATGGGAGATCTTATCGATCTTGCTTGTGACGCTTTATCTAATCACAAACTTCGTCCCTGTGATGGGAATGGCTGCATTTGGATTAGTCAACGTAGTCAGTGGTTTTGCTCGTGAGGTTAAAGATTAACGCAGTTTAATATACCATATGTACAAATTGTGTTAATTTTGATTCATCGGTGATTATATTACAGGTCTTTCAGATAATTACGCCCAGTCGGCATCATTTCAACTCAGCTCTTTTCAAACTTCACCTAAATATTTGAGCATCTTATCTCCAAAGAAAATTGGGAAGAAGTCTATGGTGCTGTAGATTTAGACACCAAATTTTATAAATTCATGGACAAGATCATCTATATATGCTTTTAATGTTTCAATACCTAACACCAGTAAATAGATAAAAAAAGAAGAGAGTCAACAAGATAACTCTGAAGTCCTTACTGAAAAATCTTTGGGTTTATTAGCTTGATTAATTTACCTATCATCAGTCTTCAAACTTTGTATGTGTAAAATAGTTTTTTCAATTAATTTCATTTTAAACGCATTGCAGATATAATACAACAGCATTCAGCTATATCAACTACAGAAGTTTATTGAACTTCAACACCGCATGATACTTACATTACATACAGCCTATCATATAAAAACAAAGAAAAGAAGAAAACTTTTATTGAAGTCGAAATATTACAGAACAAATCAGAGCTCACTACCAACATTTATGTCTGTAAATAACAAAATGTAATGTAATGTGTCAATATCATTCTCCTGATAAGTATCACTAAACAAAAAAGAAGAAGAAGGATAACCACAAAAATTGAACATCGGGGCCTCATGACTGCCACAGCCCACAATTATTGTGTCATTTAGAGAGAAAAAAGGCCATGCGATCGATGTGATTGCGAAATGCGAAACGTGCGAAACTACTAACAAGGCCGCTGTATTTTTATTTCAGGATTAGTTTTGCCAACACTGTCATTTGGAGGCTTCTGATTGGCTGTGGAAACACCATTCCATTACCGAAACGATACGACGAGACTACATCCGCCCCACCGCCCCGCCCGGTGGTCTAGTGGATAACGTGGGTATTTACTCAGGGGAGGTATAGAAGAGACTACGATGACAGCTGTGGGCTTCTTATTAGCTGAGGGAACGCCATTACCGTAATAAAACGGACAATAGCCATCGGCCTCGGTGGTCTAATGGTTAGCGTGCTGGGCTGATATACTGTAGGTCCCGGGTTCTAATCCCGCTGGTAGCATTAACTTTTTGTCCAAGATTTTTTATTATCAGCAAGTTTGGTTGGTTTGGTTTGGTTATTACAGTTAAATTTTATTATTAAGTCATTATAAAATTTTAATTGAGCAATTTCTAGTTTTATTTTAATAAACAGAATTATTTAATTTTTCCGATTACTAAACTTTTGTTATATTAATTCTTTATCAGCAAGTTTGGTTAGTTCGGTTAGGTTATGATAGTTTAATTTTATAATTAAGAAATAATAAAATTGAATTTGAGACATTTATAATTTTATTTTATGAACAGAACTATTTTTGCGATTAGTAAACCTTCATTGCCAAAGTGCTCTCTACTACAGCGCTGTTCACGGAGGAATTTTGAACTAAATGCCTCTTTCGTACCTCCCCTAAGTCAGACCCGGATAACGTGGCGGAGGTGGCGGGCTAATAATCTGTAGGTGCCGTGTTCGAATCCCGCTGGGTGGCACTATTTGTTTACAACTTTTTCATACCCATTTTCAGTTTTATTTTATGAAAAGAACTATTTTTACGACCTTCATTCGTTTTTTCACTATCAGCAAGTTTGGTTAGGTTATGACAGTTTAATTTTATAATTAAAACATTATAAAATTGAATTTGATGCATTTATGATTTTATTTTATGAACAGAACTATTTTTCGATTAAATCTTCATATTTTATTTTCAGCAAATTTGGTTAGGTTATGACAGTTTTTATAATTAAAACATTATATAGTTAAATATGAGGCATTTTTAATTTTATTTCACGAACAGAACTATTTTTTCGATTAGGAAACCTCTAATCAATCAGAAGCCTTCATTTGAGACTGTTGGCAAAACAAATCCTGAAATAAAAATTGTGCAACGATTTTAGGCCAACGAGGGAGGAGTGGAGTAGAAAGTGGAAGTGTGGAACTGGAAACGGAAAGTGGAAGTGCGGCAGTGGAGGTGTGGAGAGTGGTGGTGGAGGACTGGAGGAGTTTTTGGAGTTTTGCTTTTGTTGCAGGAGTTGCAGGTTAAGGTTACACTGGTTACATTACACTTACACTTACTTACAACAAAAAGTTACAATTAATTGAGTTGTGTGAGTGACGTTGAGTGTTGTTTCAACCTTCATTCAGCCTCGACTGATGTTAAAGTCTGTTGTGTAAATTGTGATTGCAGTGTTTTTAAATATGGAATGGAGGCCTATCTCCGTCACTTCTGTGTTTTGAAATAATTTCTATTTCAACACAAATCCCATCCTTAGGGTCTTAGTTTATGCTTAGATAGGCATAGCAATTTGGTAGGACCTAACTTATCAAAGTTAAAGCCACTTCCGTTGATTAGAATGTTATCGTTATCTAAGGCATGTCTGAAACCTTAAAAAGATATGTTTGGAATAATTGTTAGTGGTCGTGTTGTGCAAACCAATTTTGAACAAGTTTTAGAAAGACATTTTTTATCTACAGTAGTTGATGCTGACAATATAAATCATATTGTGGTATTCTTAACTGGAACAAATCCATTTCCAGATGGAACAGCTGGTTTAATTTATTTTAGTTGGCCTGATCCAAATGCACCTCCTAGCTGGCAACTGCTTGGTTACATATCAAATGAAAAACCATCTGCCGTATTTAAAATTTCTGGACTGAAGAAAACGTCAGAAGAACAAAGTGGGTTTCTACAATTTGCTCAACATGCAATTTCACACAATGCTCAGATTGGTATTGCTATTGAACCTTTAAACATTGTCCAAGAACAAATTACTATGCTGGAAACATCCAAGCCTACTGAACAGTCTCAGTTTACCGAATACTGCAAAAAAACCCTAAAGAATTTTGTTAACTACATATCCAGTTTTGCCACTCTTCAACAAGACACCTACGTCGTACCACTTCCAGTCGTACAGAACTGGTATCAAAACTTTGAAACCAAACTTGCTGTTAACCCTTATTTTTGGAGATCTTAGATTCTACCTTTCTTATAGACCATTTTCAGCTTAAAATCAGTTAAAACCCAAGTTAAGTTAACTTAATAGCATATACATCAAGTCTTACTTTTATTGAGCTCAGCACATCCTGAATATAATATCATGTAAGTACAAGTTAGCCTACACTTAAAACTTTTAACTTAGGCCTAATTAACAGGGCCAATTTAACGAATAGGCTCGGTAGGCATATGCCTAGCCGTGCGAGGCAATTGGCTTTTTTGGGGGGCGTCGAAAAATTTGAAAATAAAAAAATGGTGGCTGTATTTGCATGCGATTGCATTTCCTGTGATTGTATATACATCATCATCGTCCGCCTACCTTGATCGGCCGATTGCGGCTATATTCTGACTATTCCCGGCGGAGGTGTGGACATAATTACGTCTTCCTTGATTGCGGCATTATATGAACACATCCCACCGTCATGAGAATATTATCACCATCTACTGTGAATAAGGCAAAATTATAATTATATCCCGGGGTCGTGTGGATATTAACTTATCAACCTCTTTTGTGATCAAAGTACATTAAAGTTCTGATAATCCCTCATAGCCATGAAGACATCATCGCCTGCCACGGTCGTATGGCATAGTAATCCTCTCCTGCCATTGCGGCAAAATGGTAATCATCTCCCGCGATTGTTTAGAGATCATCATCGTCTTCCCCGAATGAGGAAAAATTCTGATCTTTCCCATGGTCGAGTATACATTATCATCGTCTTATGTGATTGCGGTAAAATTCTGATCATCCTTCGCAGCCGTGTAGACAGTCATTATTTTAACTCCCGCGATCCCGTAGACATCGTAATAGTCTCCCATTGTCGTAAAGACATCGTAATAGTCTCCCATTGTCGTGAAGACATTGTAATCGTCTCCCGAGGTTGTGAAGACATCGTAATTGTCTCCTCCAGTCATGTAGACATCATAATCGTCTCCCTCGGTCATGAAGACATCGCAATCGTCTCCCACGGTCGTGAAGACATCGTCTCCCGCGATTACGGCAAAATGTTAATAATATCCCGCTGCCATGTGAAGATCATTATCGTCTTCTGCAATCGCAGGAAAATTCTGACTTCCCCTGCGTTTGTGTGGACATTTTCATTGTCTTCTGTGATCGCGGCAATATTATGATCATCCTTCGTGGCTCTGTAGATCTCATTATGGTATTGTGCGATTGCGGTAAAATCATGATCATATCCTGCAGTCGTTTTAGACATTAGGCCTATTATCGTCTCATGCGATCGCGGCAATATTCTGATTATCCTTCGCGGCTTTCTAGGATCTCATTATCATATTGTGTGATTGCGGTAAAATCATCATCATATCCCGCGGTCGTTTAGACATTAGGTATCATTGTTTCATGTGATCGCGGCAAAGTTCTGATTATCCCTTGCCGCCTTGTGGAGGCATATATTATCGTCTCCCGCAGTCACGGAAATGTTACTTATCATGTGACATCACTGTAAATTGACAATTCCAGGTAGAAATATAGAATTCACACACAATACCCGGTTCCAAAAAATTCACTCTTAATTCCCGGATTTCCCGGTCGATGGTCACCCTGTTATATTGCAAAGGAGCACTACTATTAGTTGTGCCTAGGGCGCTGACATAGTCAAAAACGGGCCTGCTAATTAGACATACCGTACTGGTACTGGGGTTTTTAGCAGCCTAACCTAAGTTACTCTAGTATTTTCTGGTAAATTGTTACATTACGGTTACATGGGATTTTACCTAAAAATGTTGATACTGTCCAGGATTACATCTCAGAGCCTACCCAAGTTAGATCACCTCTGTAATGTTGCTTCTGTTGTTATTAAAGAAAAATGTGTTGGTTTTTTTTAGTTTACTTAGGTAACTTAAAAACAACCCAAATCCCGGCAGGTTAAGGTTAAATGAGGTTTTTTGATTCATGTAAATATTAGGAGTAGTCTATAACTTAACTTATCTTTAAGTTTCCGTCTCATTTCATGTTTCTAGCATTGTAGATTTTAATGGTTTTCTGTAGGCTATTGTAAGTTGTTAGAAAAAATTTCCATTAAAATAATTATCCTAGAGGTCTAACTTAGCCTACAGTATATATAAATTATTGTCACCATTCTGTATTATGTTAAAGTTGCACATTGTATAACAAATGAATTAAGATGTTTGAATCTTGAACCTTACCTACTTAAAGGACTTAATACAGTCACAAAATTGCACAACTTAGAACAACCTAACTTGCATCTTCATTTTGCAATTTATAATTAACATTCCTTTAAGAAATTAGGTTAAATCCGTTTGAGAAATTTGGTTAAATTAGTTTTTAAGTGAGTTGATCACACATTTTAACACAGGCCTTTTTCACTTTCAACAATTTCCCAAAATCGTTTTTCTCTCACCCACTAACTCCTATTCCCACCGGTCTCCCCTAGATGGTAGGTTCTAAGGATGTGTTAAATGTGATTTCCCCCCATTTATTTTGGATACACTAGGGACCTATGTAGGCTACTAGCCTATTTCTTGTGCAGCACTCTAATTTAAAAAATCTTTACCAGGATTTAGACTTATGTTGAGTTGTTGTTTACAGGGTATGGCACTAATCTTATTTTGAATCCAGTTAACTTTAACTTTTTCTGAATTAAACAACATTTTATGTGTTGCCTAATCCTCAGTATTTTATCCACAGAAAAATGTTCCAAATTAAAGAGAACAGGGAAGAATGGATTGCCGTAAGATCCTTCAAGGCCAAACTAGCAATGGCTAAACTAAACGCAACAAGGTCAAATCCTTCACAGGCGGTAAGTTTTTATTGTTTGTGATTTTTGTTTTATTTTTGTGATATTTAACTTAGGCTATTAAGTTATTATCCGAATTAAGTTATTATTATTATCCAAATAACTTAAACCTTCTGAAGATTAAACACTTTTTTTTAAGAGTTGGCGATTTTATGCCTGTCCGTTTAGTCCTTGGGCCTGTTTCCCTCAAAGCAAGGCATTTAGATAACTAGGACCATTACTAAACACTTTTCTCTAGTTTGCCATTAGAAATGAACCATCTCATTAAACCATGTCGGCAGCTGAATGTTATGCTACCATCTAACTGAACTGTGTTCATATTAAGATTGTTTATATACAATGTAACCCATGCATTGTACAACATTGGTATTAAATTATTATGACAAAAGCTTCACTTAAAACCACTAAAACCAGTTAAATGAAGGAAAAACACCCACACCTGTAGGCTATGTTGTTGAATGTAGTTTAGACTTTGATATTATGAAATTATATTAGTCAAAAACAAACCACTGCTGATAACTAGTAACATTGATGTATTTCTTTACGTTACTCAAGTTAAAAACTATTAAATACTTAATTTTTTTCAGTTACCTAAACGTGATGTATCCGGCCATCTGACTGGTGAATTTGACATCAGTGGTTTGCCTTTGAAATTAAAGAAACATATTATCACAGCTGGCATCATACAAGGAGATATATTTGATTATGGAGGTAAAGTGCTATTTATTATCATTTGGCCACCATAGGAGTTTGATACAATATACAAACCAGATTTTCTGTTGTCTCTGACTCGTCCTTTGTAGTTGAATTAACCAGGTTTCCGCTTTCTTTAAAGCCATAATTATCCATTTTACTGGGATTTATCCATTACTCTATGTCGTTAACAGTTAACTCATTTAGAAATTGAACGAACGCCATAAGAAAACACTAAATACGACACAACAACAACTAGGCCTAGAATTTATTAATGCAAACAGCCAACGGGAATGGTCCACGATGGTTGGTAAAGTGCATTGTTACTGATGGATAATCTTAACCCCTGATGGACATGATTAGGTAGCCTATGTCGTAATAAATGAGGTCATCCACTATAAAGGTCCAAGTCAGCTGAGTCGGAAAATCTGGTATGTATGAAGTGTTATTCTTACTGTCTCGGAGTAAATATTTTGCATGGTTAGCTTGTATTTATTGTGAAGAATTTTTCTGACTGGATAAGTCAACATTGGTATTGATTTTTCTCCCACTAAATTTGTATAGTATCTAATGATAATGGTGTTTGAACTCTAGAGGGACACCAGTATTTATTTAATACCTACAAATTCCATATTAAGACTTCATCACTAAACTCATTGCTCAAATGTTGTCTTAATTTTTCAATACATTAGAGAAATTGGTTTACTTTTCTTCGCTTATTTTCTTCTTTCAAAGGGTTGGTAGATTTTGGAAACGGATGCATAATAAATTCAACAAAAATATTTGTACTGTAACTAATAATCTATCTAAGAATGGCTGAGTGATCCATCTAAGTAAAAAAATGTTACAAATTCAAATGCTGACATTCATCCCCAGTTAAGTTCCACTGAAGTTTATGATCCTAATTCAATAACAGAGGGGAAAGTGCAAAAATGGACTAGGGAGTTCAAAATGGCTGTGAAAATGTTCATTTCAGAAGGAATAGTGTTTTTGATGGATACCCAGATTTTTCAGACAGGAAAATAAAAGGAAAAAAGGTTTACACGGCCTTTTTTACACTCCATAACCCATTTCCGCACTTTACCCTCACATATTGCAATAGGCCCATAACATTCAGTCTGGCGAAGAATTTCGGCATCAGATATGTTTCTTGCAAGCAAAAAACTTAACACTGACCTTATCTTGCACATGGCGGCAGATTCAATAATTTAAAAAAAATTTAAACACTGCGTAGCGTACAAGTCAGCTACAGAGCTGCAAATAGTGTCATTCTGTTCACTAATGATGCAGTAAGCGGCTAAAAATGTCCCTAGCCTGAGTCTGAGAGCTTGTAGCCGGGGGCCGTTTATTGGGGTGATATGGTATGGAGGAGGGAATTCGGGTAATCAGGAGGGAATAAACAGGGTAATGCTAATAGGTTAGGAATAGGTGTGTCTGGACCAAACTTAATATAAGCGTGCTGAATCTGCTACCAATAAAATTAGGAAGATTGCTGGGGACCAGAGGGACGGAGACCTTTTACCCAGATCAGAACACTTGCCTAGCCAGCTTTGATTTGCACTAATGGAACTAACTATTTAAATATTAACCTATCCTTCCAACTATGAACTGAACTTGGATAATTTCTTACTAATATTGATGAGTGAGGGGAATAATATGTAAATTGAAAACTGAATGGCTAATATGTATGAATTTGATTGATAATTGCTAAGCTACATTCTGGAGACATGTGATTAAATTAACAGGATTGAGAAGGTTGAACCCGGCTAAGATTTTATTTCCTACATTTCACCAGTCGGGCGAGCCAGAAGGGCTCCCCGCTTGTTTCCTGAACTTAGCCAGACATTATTTCTATTTTTAGTCCTAAATAGCTATGGTAAAAGACTTATCCATAACGTGAGAGTCCGGGTCGGCGAATTCCAGCTTCCTTTTCGTCTGACGGTTGGTAGAGCAAGAAGGAGGAGAGGACAAGAGTCTAGGAAGGTGGGGATAGCGCGTTGATGCAGTCGCGGCAGGCAACGAGATAGTCATGCAGCCCGGCTTCGCGAACGGCACACACTATAAAAAATATAGCGTGCCGCTATGCGTCACAAGCTGTTAAAAGTGTTAAGTGACCCAAATTCTGAGTTGTGAATAAGTGAATAGACTCTCAATGTGTTTATGTCTCGGTCCCCAGATGGATTTGCCTGTATCAGGGAAGGTGATATTTCTGAAAGAACTTCAACTACTAGCAAAGTACTCTTACTACAAGTTCAGGCAAACACTCTTGATTCATATGCTAGTAAGTATATATTCTTTTTTTTTTAGTGTTTTAACAACATGTAAAGACTGTCTTAGAAATCAAAATTAAAAAATCATATATAGCCTTACAAAGAAATAATTTGGAAATGCTTTTATTTTTATAATTGCTATTGACACTGAAACCCATTTTGAATTTAAATGACTCCTATTTAAAATGTTATTACAATGTCATTGTACATATTTTTCTTCGTCAAGATCATATAGGCCCTACAACAAAATTAATTTTAACAGAAGCTAGGATTTATATTAAAAAGTTCTTAAGTAGGCTACCATATCATATACGTACGATAGCCGATATCACGATAAATTAAATATAACCTCTTAAGTAGGTATTAAGATTGATTATTAGACTCTTTAGAAGTGTTTGGGTACCTTAAACCCCTAGAGCCCCTATTATCCGGTGCGGATCATCTTAGGTCGAAAGAGATCTTTAAATAATAATTCAGGAATGGAAAGAATATCTGAAACTACGTCTTATGTGGCATAGAGTCCAAAGTGGAATAGTTGTATCACTGTTTGTCTAATGTACCTTATAAAAGATGCAATACAACTTCTTTTTGAGTTTTGGAATGAAAAAAGTCATTTATCGGTTTAAAGGTAACCACAAGCACAAGAGAGATTTTCATCCAGGAGGCTTATCTTAATGAGTGGGAGTCCAAACTGGTACAAGAAACGAAAAACAAGTACACAAACAAAACATTAAAATATTTTATTGTCATTTCCGACGAAGAAAGGAGAGTTGAAGAGAGTGTTCCTTCAATTGAAGCTTGACTGTATTTTTTTTTTTTAGAAACCCTCCTCAGTTCACCTTTCTTAATTGAAAATGCTGTCAGTGACAAAGAAATCTTCTAATGTTTTCCGTTTATTGTTCCAGTTTTAACTCTTTAGTCTTTCCCATTCTGTAATCTTCATTCAAAATCATTTATGGGCCAGTTTACTGGGTAAATTAAGCACGACCCAAAATAATTCATGATTGTGTTAAATAGAATATAAGTCTGTTTCTATTTTGCTTTTAGAAGCAATTAGTGCTGTTGAGACACTTGTTGATGAAGTTTTGGAGCCCCAAAAGAAAATTGTTAAGGTACGTTTTAGCATTAAGATTACTATATGTTGTTCATTTTCATTTTTACAAAATAAATTAGAAAATGCTTTTTTATCTAAAAATTGACAAAGAGGAATTTAAAAAGATAAGAAATAATTAAAGTTTATGGGCCACTAAACCCTTCACCCCACTACCACAACTACTAACTACCTAACTTTGCCTGGGTAAATAAATAATTTTTCATTTCATTTTTTCATTTACCATATTATTAATGAAAGATGAAATGGATACATAACAAGAGTTCCAGGAGCTTCTTCAGAAAAAGTAGTAGAATTATCAAGGGGCGAAATGTCAAATCGTGTTGTGAACTTTTTGTTTCCTTTAACTGCCTGGATCCCTTTTCCGTAAGCCAAGGGCTTAAAAAAAACTTATTAAAATTAAAATCTCCAGGGGATAAAAATAAAAAAAATATATTGACAATTTAGCTCTCGCTAGCCTGCTGTATGTATAAGTATACTTGACTGCAGAAATATGTATATGGCCTACTTCAAAATAAAAATGTTTAAACAGCTTCGTCAAAGAAATATATTTGAAATAGAAAAAAATATGTGTGATTAAAATAACTGAAATTTACCATGACTTATTGCAGCACACTCTGAACAGACGATCGTGGGGAGATGTTATGAAGAATGATTATGAGATACATGATTTGATCAGACCAGTGGTCAGTCATTTGATAACTAAAGGCATCATCAAAGGAGACCTCTACTGTGCTTCTGGTAAGTAACAAAACTTATAATTTCCTACCTAATCTCCTAAGGTATTCCAATGGCTTTCCAACTGTTTGATATCTCGATGTTGGCTTTGTTACTTTTACAATACTGCAGGCTTAACTTTCTGACATAAGCAAATGAAAATGTCTACTTTATGTTGTCTACTTTAGACAGCATAATCTTCTTCATATTTCCAAAAACTACAAGAACATAGAAAACTACTACTAAAGAAGGATCTAGTTCTTAAAATTCTTTCAGTTAGGTAAGCCTTCTGTTAAACCTATCAATTACAAAATTCTAAAAAAACTGGCATATAGCCGTCTTGACCAAATAACTCATAACCTTTAAAAATAAAGTATTTTGTGGGGATTTAAATTTAACCAACTCTTAACAATCGGTTGAACTTCTTTACTTTTACTAGTAAGGAAATCAAAATTGAACATATGACCTTGAAATTGGACAGCCTGCTATCCAACAGGCTAAACTTGAACTAGGCCTACCTCTATGTCTGACATAGGTCCCCAAGGTCCCGGATTCAAATCCCACCAAATCACCAATGGCTTTTATCAAAGTGATGATGCCGCATCCCTTAGGTCTAGCCTGAAGTAATTTGAAAAACAATCCCTAACTCGTCTCTAGAGTCCTAGGACAAAAAAAGTAATGTCTGATGATTGCAGGTGCTGTAGTATGTGCTAAGGGTAGTCCTTACTTGGCGGATGATTTGCCACCAGAGGCGACGAGCGAGGGGCCCATCTATCTGTTGATTCAGGGACCGAACGATAGGACTTTGCACCGTAAGAGCTCTTTCATAGTAGTCCAGTATTTTTTAGTGTTATCTTATATTACATATCCAGAGCCAGTCACAAAAAATTTAGTTATTCTAGCATAACATTTTATTATCACTTACATAAAACCTGAAGCAGCTAGGTTCTAAGGATGAGAAATCCACTAGGGCGTGCAATCTAGAATTATGGTAATGTCTTTGTTTCACAGTGATTGTAAAACCCTACTTTTGACACAATATTTAACATATAGGTACTAATTTGTGCAGTTCACTACTTTGGAAATCTTGTTTGAACAATGTTATGTTTTTTAAACTAAAAGTAAAGATTTAGGTTCTTTTAACACGTTCGCTGCGGGCCAGTCACCGGTGAGTGCTCTAGCTCCATTCTGCCACGCTGAACACTCACCCGTGAGTGCCGAAATCGTCTACATTTCATTAAATTTCTGCACAGCAGCACACCGTGAAGAGCGTTTATTTTAATGTCTGCGTTTAACTTGGAATGTGTGCTTTATTATGGTGTAGGTTGGTAGTAAATTTCCCCATAAAATCCCCTTCTGGCAAGCTAAGAAATCAACTTGTCCCATTTTTCTCACTCCTATTGGCAATACAATAAGACCGGCTGGTTCCAGACAGTGCTGCTACCTGTGAGTTTTTCAGCAAACTACGTAAACTCTCGTCTTAACACAGCACTTGTAAAGAAAAAAAGAGAATCTTCACTTATATTCAAAATATACTCTTTACTTAATTGATCATTCCATCAAGCAAAATCACCTCACACCTTTATGTAATACAATTTAAGTATTTCATACAGGTGTGAGTATAACAAAAAGTTGCCCCCTGGTGGGGTTTTAATGAATTTAATTTAATTTTAATTGAACTACTGAGGACATTACAATCACAGAGCTGCGCAGTGGAGTTAAAGATGTTAAGTGTGGGCCCTGTAATTAAACATCCCAGAAGTCCGATTTATGGACCGTGAGAGGTCTGATATGTTGTCCTCCTTCACACCTTCTTCAGCTTAATTCTAACACTTCTTAACACTAATGGATGTGTTTATTTGAACACTCTATGAATTGAAATGTCAGTTCAGATGAAAGATTGTGATGTGAATTGTTTTCTTTGTAAAACTGTAATACTGCAAATAATAACATATTAAAATATTGATTGAAAATATTTATGAAACAGTTTGTTCAGAAACTATTTATCAAAGTATGACTTCAAGATGTTTGTATACACTGGATTTCGGTTAAGCCGATTATTCATGAATTCACCAACTTGATATTAAAAAATGTGATCATCAACACTCATTGTGTATACTTTGTATACTTCTTCAGTTAAACCAATACTCTTAAATTTACCAGTATAATATTAATAATATAATACAAAACACAGGATAATGATAAGATGATGATTTGTAAAAATGCTATGTAATGAGTTGAATTGAGCTGTGGTACAAGTAACAGATATAAACAATGTAATAATCTTTTTTGTGCACAATTTAATAATATTTTGAAAGAGAGAGCGAGAGAGTTGATTGCAAGTTAAATTTGGTGGTTTGCCACATTCTAAAACTGCAGAGTCTCGGGAAAACCTAGCCTTGACGATTTTATTTATTTAGTTTAGGCCACCAGACTCCCCAAGGATGTTCGTATATATCAAACTGGCCAGTTTACAATTTAATCAAACAGGGACTATTATGTAGTTTGTGATCTACATCACTCCTTGCTGATCAATGCAACGGGGCCAATCGACCACTGAGTCGATTAATTGATAATTTTTATTAAGTATTTAATGTTTATGAATTTAATGGGAGTCTATCCTCATGACCTTTTGTCAACCCTAGCCTTCGACCGAGCACTCTGTTACCCCCATTTACGTTACACAATCAAACTCTCACTATTTAAAAATGTAACACTGTTCAAAAATTATTCTACACATGAGATACAAACGTTTTAAATAATAATACTGATGGTGATAGAATTTGACTTTACATAGAACACAAAATAATAATATCACAGACAATCATTGTTCTTAAAAATAATAGACCATTTCAATTTAATTTAATAAATAATTTCCAATTGACTATAGTTACTAATGTAACTTAAATTCTTTGCATAACGTGATAAAATTCAATTAAACATTTTTCATCCTGAATTGCGACCATGTGCTCAAGGTATACCAAATGAAACATGAAATTTTCAGACCAACTATGACATGATTTCTGACTTGTAAAGCTAGTGGAACATGTGAAAAAATGGCAGATTGGCAAGACTATTTTAATACTAAAACACAAATAACACAAACATTTACTTACGTACACATGTCGACACATACACATTCATTCCGACGAAGATTCACGCGTACCGAACATTTAAAAACTGACTCGTGGATTTGTGACTTTTTGTCTGACCGAGCGGAATATCACGACACGGTTTTTTCTGGTGTAGGACTTATTAATTCTTGTTTTTTCGAGCTGGCGTTTAATGATTCAATTGAAAATACCTTCACGACGACCCACTATTCGCTAGAAACTGACATTTGCTATCGATATGATGCATGTACGAATTTTCATCACGAACGCGAACAATCAATCCGGCATCTCAACTGTCTCGACTTAATACTAATAAAACACACCCCCAAATGCAATTCGGCGAAATTTTGACAATTGCGATCGTTTGATGCACGTACAATTTCCGCCCGAACGCTAATTTCCGAGCTACGAAATAAGATATTAATAAATTCGTCCTACACCAGCGACAAAACGCGACTTCACATGTTGACTGTGCGAGTACTGAGCCACGAGTGACGACGAGACGTTTGCACGCGACACGGTTCGAGTGTAGTATTCCTCCGCGTTACGTCATGTTGGACTGACTTGTCCATTGCCTGGCGCGGATTTTAAATCTTTGAATTTAAAATCAGCACACACTTCACCGCACGCCATTTTACCATTCGTCAGACTGAAATATTTGAAAGCCAGACGGGTCCGCTCGACGCTGCACTGGAGCTGCCATTTGGCAGGCCGCAGCGAACGTGTTAAGATTTTATGAGTTATTGTCGCATACTGTAGTATGCAGGCAAAAAAGTTAAACCTCACTGGACTGTTTTAGGAGCAGCTTTAGGAATTCGTAAACTGATCACGGAAGCTGAAGAAATCATAAATAACGATGCACCAGAAGTGGTGAGTATGACTGTTGTTGTCACTATAATAGAGCATGACCATTGATTATTATTGTGACTAAGAGTTGGAGTATCATTAGGAGGATCAGAAACTTAATTTAGGTAAGATTTTAATGATGTACCCTAGGCAGGAAGTAAACTATTTTGGAGTTATTTTCACTCGTGAATAGGTATTTTGTTACTGGCTTTACTAAAAAGCTGATGAAACTAAAAATTGCTGTTTTAAAATTACCAAGATACATTATTTTGTTGAACACATCAGAAAAATTATCGTTGACCTAGATTTTAGGTTTGCCTTTTCTTGCTGTTTGTCACATTGTTTTTAGTAGAGTTCGCAAAAAGCGTCAGAAAAGGTGCATGATCGAAATTAGACAATTACACTGAGATCGCAGGTCATGTTCACCAATTGTCATTTTTGACCCGACTCGAAGTACAAAATTAGCCTGCAGACCTTCAGACTATAGTTAAGGTTTGCAAGAGAGAGGATATTTTTTCCACAGGACAAGCTTTACTTGAACACAGACTACAATGAAGACAGCTTGACAGTAATGTAAAAGTTGTCAGTTCAATCATAAGAAATGTCACACGTCTTAAACTGTGCTCACCTATACTTGATAATAATCGGTCTTATTACCTTTGTCGTTTCAAAAATATGCACCATTGTCATGTTTGTCACCTTGCATTGTATTACTCATAGGAGTCAAAGTCTAGGGCTCTCCCCAGTTAAGTTCGGGCCAGAAATAATGTTTGGACCAAGCTTGGGTTGAGTAATTTACATTAAAAGTAGGCCTATGCAAATGGCTTGGTTTTCAAGCCATGTTATTATTCTTGCAGAAAGCATCTGAAATACTGTGCGATCCAGAATTCACGATTTTTCTACATTGGCGGGAGCTTACCCAATTTGTCACCACAGAAATTTTTACAATTTCGTCTTGTTTTGCAGGAGACTTTCGTGTTGGTTACCATAGGAAACGTTAGCGGTTTCTCTGCAACCACGGGGGACGTTCATGTTGATATTAACAATTTCACGGTGACCACAATGATAATATTTTATCAATTTCAAGAGTAAATATTTCCCTAGTTCAATTTTCATTTGAGACTCGAAGGTCGTCATTTTTGACCGAACCAAGTTCAAATGTCTGGCCTGAAGACCCTTGTAACCCAGAGTCTGTTGACAGATTGCCGTAGTCAAGGCCGCGGAGAAGGAAGATTTAGTTCCAGTAAATGTAGTCGACCTCACTCAAGATAATCAATATCCTCCGTTCTTACCACAGTTAGGAGAGGGAATCGATGCTGATGGTAAGTAAACTTTAAAATGTTTGCTTTAACAAAATTTATACTTTTAACTGTTGATGCACTTAATTATATATGAGTAATAACTCAGTCGACAGTTAATTTGTCATCAATTTTCTGTTGGTATTGTTCGTACTTGTAGGCATTTTCAATAGGCTCGTCAAATAAAAACACGAGCAGGTGAACCGGATGAAATAGAACAAAAACAAAGATAAAACTTTTTATTACACAGCAGATCATGGTTTATCAACCATAATGTGATTATTTATTTATATTTATATACATTCATGTTTTATCTCAAAAGTATGTGCAGATTTTCCCTTCGATGCACACAAGCTGAGAAAAATGGTTTTCAAGGAACATGCTTGCCTGGATGTATTTTCATGAATTACTTACAGTACCAAAATGGTAGAGATTACTACTGTATTGAGTGTTGTGAGAGTGTGTTTCGATGTGTGTTATGGTGATGTTAACAAGTGTGTTTCTGTTGCAGTGACTCGCTGTTTGGTGATGCTTCAGTGGTTGTTGGCTCACCCGTTGTTTGTGTCTTTCGTTATCCGCCCTCCATCGGGATGCGAAGCGAAGACATTCAGCAGGAAAATGGTTTCGACTGCATTGTTTTGTCTTCAACTCTATGATCAATACAAATGCAGACACTCCAAAACCTCATGCAACGATTGTCTTCGATTCTTTAGCGAGGTCCAGTCTGCTGCTTTTGACTGTTGCCAACGAGTTCTGCAAGACGGTTACGATATATCCACTCTAATTTTAGTCGATGATTACATAAAAAGATTGTCAATCGACCCGACACAAATCGGAGTACTTTACGACTACCCTCTGCCGATGAATCTGTTTGATTTGGACCGATGTCGGTTGTTCATCGATGTTGCGATTGATCGCGGACTGAAAACCGAAGAATCTCACATCGTATCGTATTTAAAATCAACAAACTTTTTTTATCCCGTCAAGGCATATCAGAAGATTACAACCGGTTCACAAGTGAATCCTTGTCCATCTAAGAATCGAAATGCACGGAAATATCCGTCGTACTGTTCCCTCGACCATCACGGAGGTTTGATCAATTTTCATCTCAGTACCATAAATAATGCATCGCCCCAAAGATTCTTTTTTCCAGACGCACCAAAAATACCCAAGTGTGATTATTTTCCTCTTTTGCGTAAGCTCACTATATTTTCTAATTTGAGTTCGTTCACTAAGAAAAACAGCAAAAAGGCCCATTCTGAAACTGTGAAGGGTTCATCCATGTTACACGCAGCGTATGATTTGGCAGTGCAGTCCTCGCTTCTGACACCTCAGACCGGTACACATGTAAGTTAATGCACCTCTCTTATCACTTATACACTATGAACATTTTTAACCAATAATAGCATGATATACAACTCCATTCTATGTTCACCGTTCAGTACGGAAGGCCCAGAAGCCTTGTATTTCAAAGAGCTGTTTCAGCAATACTAACTGCCCTAAAAAATCAGAACCCGCAACACGCTCTTTAGATTTTAACTTTTTTTCATTTTGTTAATATTATACTAATTTATCTAATGTAAAAATCAAGTAAAATGTAATTGAAGCGCAGCCTTCTTGAGGGCTGCAAGGACAAATGTGGCAACCTGCACAACAATATACATGATGTTTCCCGTATTGTTTATAGTTCAACATTGTTAATATCCTACCACAGTTTATGTTTGAAATAGAGAAGAGATTCTTATTCTCTTAAGTAAAAAAGTAAAGCAAAAATTTTACTAGTATTTTTCTTTGCAGAATACTTCTGGAAGTAGTCAAAACGTGCAAAGGGACCAAGGAAATGAAAAAAATGAATCCTCAAAACTCCCGGTGTCATTTTCAACTCTACGAGAACCCAGTGGAGCATCCAAGAATACACCTAACCCTAATCCAACTCCCAATCCAAGTCGCATTCTCAGAAAACAAATAAGGAAAGGTAAACTGGAGATGCGGCTGGAGGAGAAGAAAGCAGAGGTAAACAAAACTATGGAGCAACTAAAAGAAAAATATGGCACCAATCATTTTTGGACTGCAGACCCGTCTAAATTAAATGATGGAAACGCCAAAGAAATGCTTGCAAACTTGTCAGGTAATCAGACTGATTCTCATCCTCAGAGTGGAAGTTCTCAGCCGCAAACATTCTCTGGGTTTCTTCGACCTCCGAACATACAGAACGCTCTTAGTATGATGCAAACGTCGATGCCGATACAGAAACCGAATGTGTTTGGAACGCAAACTTCAATACAGGGAGGTAATGCTCCACTCAGTCTGAACAGTGGCAAACAACCCGAACAAACGGATGCTCAAGGCAATGAGTGGTTGGGAGTTATAAGCCAACTGCAAGAGGTAAGTTGCTTAGTGCAATAAAGGAAACTGATGGCTGGTAAAGAATTTTTTGAAAGGAGTGTAGCTAGCTTGCCTGAGCTGAACTTGGGGCTGATAGATGCACAATAAAAGAACATAAAACATAACACGATATTTTGTCATGATGTAGGACTTCTTTGAAGAGTAGGTATGAAAATACCTCTGAAGTCCTAGGACCAAATATCAGTTTTACGTTTCGTGTTCTTTTATTGTGTATATATATCAGTCACTGTACTTGATTTTCTCTAGTAAGCTAGCTGAAATCTACTCCTGTTCAAAAAAATATTCACTCCTCAGTGCTTCTTATGTTATTAAAAGAAGTTTTCAGATGTACAATTTGTTTTGACAGTGAGCAAAATGGGCTTCTATGAGCACACTTTTGATAGACTGAATCTATACCACGAACACCTCGTAGAAACTATCAAATCATGAATATTTAAGAATCGTCACGTTATTACGTATTATGTATTAAAAGTAATTTTTCAAGACATAATAGTAGTTTACACTTTCTGTTTGTCGTATGAAAATTTAGCTATCATTTAGCTATTTGCCCTAATTATTTTTAATAGTTTAGTAGAAGACTTACCATAGGCAGAATACTAGAATCATGTAAGACTCCAGACAATATTAAAGCAATCATAGTTCTTGATGAGTGTCAATCCATATTAAAATTAAACAGCTGAACAGTATCCCTTAAATGTTCCTTAGAATTTGGAACATGAGTTATGGCAGGTACTTAAAAGATTGGACACTCAAAATAGCTATTTGATTTATTTTATAAAATGCACAAACACAATTCTCATGGTCAAAAATTTTGTAATACAGTAGTATAATTAAAAATCACACAACAAGAAGACATGTGTTAGCTTTTCTTCCAGCTAAACACTTATCTTGCGAGACATCATGATTGTTTAATTTATGTTTTGTACAGAAAGATAGTTTGGAAATGTAGAGTTTGTTGGAAATTTACTTGATTGGTACGAAAACAAGTTGTTTGAATACTTTTTGTGTTTTGTTACCTACTTGAAGGCTCCAAAAACGTTAGTAGTATGATATCCACTACATACAAGTACCGTACTACAGTATACAAGTATGATATCCACTACATGATATAAGTGGTATGATGTCCAATAAATTAATTTTGCATAATCAAACAGCAGCCCTTTAAAAAAGTTATTTTTCAAATTTGTATGGTATAATAGTGATTATCTGTTTCTAGTTCATCCAGGGGACAAACAAAAATGCTACACAGGGCAACTATCCATCTGAATTTTCATTGGATGAAGACATATATGCTGAACCACAAGAATCTGAAATAACCTATCCGCCTCTTACTATCCCTGAGAAAACTGCCGTTGATAACGATTCTCCTCAAGAAGGTGTGTTATCTTCCATCATCGAACAGTTGCAGAATGTAAGTATGAGAAAATTTTATTAATGTTTAGTTTCATGCAGTTTGTTTACAGTATTAGAAAGTATGTTCGTTAGCCAACGCAAATAACTTATCTGACTCTTCCTCCCTTTCTCTTTTAAGTCTGACTAGTACAGTAATCTTGAGTATGTCCTTTATAGACATTGGTCCTTTATAGATATTCGGTTGTTTAAGTCCTTATGATAACAGATGGCCCATTTGGTATGGCTACGGACTATGAATCCATGGTAGTGATGTGATGGTACTGCCACTAATATCAAAATGCAGTTAATTCTTGTCCTGTAGTGGCTCACCCCTTGCTTTGCTTGATAAACTCACTGACCTTTGGGCCCATGAGGACAAATGTAATGTTGAAAGAGGCTGCAAACCTATTTCAAAAAATGAAATAGATATTTTAGACATCATGAGAAATGCTCCTGAACTAGTTAGGAACTAACAACGGTTTAAACCCCTCCAATTGTACAGTTCAAATAAAGTTGTTTATATGCAACCTATGTTTCAGCACATCATTGTGCTATCATCAGGCTCTAGTGTGGAATTTATTCAATCAATTAATTATATCAATTATAAGATTGGGACGCCACTATGTGCATATTTTAACCCAAATGTGAGTGAAGGATGAGTGGTGCGATCCTGTAGTCTTGTTAGTGACTATGGCCGACATGTTCCTTAGACACTGCTGTAATTAATAGCCCATACAGCCAATGGCAACTAAGGTACCTACAGTTAATAGTGGAATCCGAACTACATTTTTTCCATGTAACAGGGTGTCCACATTCCGGAAAGTCTGGGATAGTCATGGGAAGGCATGGAAATAGTCAAAAGGTCATGGAAATCCCATACTATATCACACTTTGTATACAGTATAGAATGTCGCTCATCCGGATCGGCCTTGTCCGGACTCCCACTAGTCCGCATCGGCAGTTGTGAATTTTTTTAGCGGCACAGTACAATAGAGTTTGGTTATCCGATCTAAACGGGACCGAGACTACCTCGGATAGTCAAAAATTCGGATAACACGGCAGTAAAAATTATAGGTTATAGTTAGACAAAAAACTTATTGAAACTGGAGAATACGGTTTATTATATTACTGTAATAAGTGATTTATGATAAAAATATATTTCTCTACAAACTCCTACCAACAATCAATTTATTACTTGTGGAACTACATTTGCAGGGCTATCAATACTGTGGACCTGGAACAAATGGCTATATACAGTACTGTATTTGTCTTGGTCTATCCGGCGGCTCAGATAATCGGACCTCGGATAATCACATTTTGTATACGTTTATTGCAAAATCTGTAGCAATAATTATACAGTACAGTAGCCGACTGTAATTTATTATGATGAGTTTAAACTTGTGTTAAACACTCCTGTTTGTATTAGCGTGTGTTTTGACAAAACGGCTCGCCGTAACTGCAAAATTTACGAATATTTCATTGGGATGAGCAAGTCTACTGAAGAGAGTACATTATTAAAAGGATCTAGAGAAAAATTGGGATATTTTATGTTTTGAGGGTCAAAAATGAGAAAAACCATGTTTCCCCCGTAAAACCCCGTTCCCATGGTACAATAATGCTGTTTTGCGAACTCATTCAAGTTTATCCCACCTTACACCTTTAAACCAAATTTCATCAAAATCGGGCAAAAATTACTCAATTTATTGCTTTGTGGACACATATAGCCTAACTATATATATGTATATAAATTTGAACGAATGGTGTTTTTGGTCTTTGGGGATATCAAAATGAAAAAGTAAATCGGTTCCGGGCCTAAATCTTACCGTGCCACATACAGCTACTAGGTAATAGCTACTTCCCTATATAGGGAAATTTGCTAGAAGTAAAATCAGAACTGTCATATTTCTGTTGCATGAAATTATGGATTATGTTCTCTCTTTGAATGCGCCAGAAAACTGTCACCTACAGTAATAAATTGTATTTTCATCCTTGATATAATGTTCAGTTTGATTTGTAATTGTTATTTGGTTTAAATATTGTGGACTGTGGCATGTTTGGTTTTGTATATCTTTGGCTATTTTATGTTTCAGTTCATTCATTCAAACAATCAAACCAAAGAAAATCCAGAAAGTGAAATGTCGCCAAAGGATGTTTTAAAAAATCCCTCTGTATCAGGCCAAAGAACTGTGAATGAAGAGAACAGAGCTAGTTCTAAACACTTACCAGAACAATCGCAACATAAACGTGTGGCTGATTCAACTACAGATGCTCCTCAGCAAAAACAGCCTCGTATTGAAACTACCAACAATAATCCGTCAACGACAAGCAGCAAGATGCCAGATCTCAAGTTGAAAAATTCAGAGAATGCCATAAAACCCCCTACAAATCAAGGAGCATCTCAGACAGGGCGAGTTATAAAACCCCCTACAACTCAAGGCCCATCTCAGGCAGGGCGAGTTATAAAACCCCCTACAAATCAAGGCACATCTCAGGCAGGGCGAGTTATAAAACCCCCTACAAATCAAGGCACATCTCAGGCAGGGCGAGTTATAAAACCCCCTACAAATCAAGGCACATCTCAGGAACAAGTTATAGACCTTACGAAACAGCTTGACATCGTCCCCGAGGTAAGTTAACTTCAATAGTTGTCCATAAGTTTATACACATACAGGGTGAACAACTTAACTGTGCCACCATAGGTATCTCGGAAACTATTAGATTTTGAACATTAAAAGGATTGATAACCTCAACTATTTTCTTTTAAAATTGAAAAACATGATTTTCATTTATTATGACCGCCATTTTCTAGTATGGTAGTTAACTTTAACATTTCTTTTGGAACGTACTTAGCTTGACTTGAGTATTTTAAAATCCATATTTTAGCCCCTGAGCTGTATAATAACTAAAAATAGGCTTTACCTTTGTCAATGCAGCTCAAATGGTGTAACCACGTTTGTGTACTGTCGGAATTTTACTCGGAACGGGAACATGTCAACCGTTGCAGTTAGTACGACAGGCCTGATCGTTTTTGTAAAATGTTCAAATATTTGTATTGTTCGTGTGTGTTATGTGTTTTAACTTCAACGATGTTACTTCAGCCGAGATTTCGTTGTCTGGCGATTTGAGCAGCACTGACGAAGGTAAAGCCTTTTAGTTGAATATTTATGACGCGTTAGATTTTGTGTTTTCATAGTATGTTTCGGTAGTATTTGTATTTTGTCCAAGATACCTCAAAGAGATCACGCACGCAATGAAAATAATAGGGATATTGAGAGAAATAATTGTTTTCAATCTTATGAACTATATATCAAATATATCTTGTATTTTGAAGTCACGAAGTAATGCAGGCTGCTAGTATTTCCTAATGTCATAAAAAATTTATTGAAGTTCTCCCTTCTTATTGTTTTCTCTAAATCTAATAATTTCTGAGATACGGATGGTACAGTTTAGTTGTTAATCCTTTATACCATACAACAACTAATTTCAATTTGCCTTTAAATTCGGTAGAAATTTTCCTTCCTGGTTGTTCAAATATAAAAAAATATTTTCACCAAAATTTAATAACTCTTTGTGGTTCTAGCTCAGTTCATAAAATTAAAATTATGATTGATTCTAGTTTTATATATTTTTAGGTATCGATCCTGGGTGATAGTATGCTGCAAAGAGCTCGCTCACAGTTTGGGGGGTCGAGACGAAAAGATTGCAGAGAAGACCATTTCACTATGCAGCATCTGCTAACTGACGTGATGAATTTCTACTCGGAAAGACAAAGACTGAACCACTTTTGTGTGTTGATGTGTGGTGTCAATGACATATTCACGGATGTTCCACCTGTAGCGTTTAATCAAATGCTGAAAAAACTCATAAACTTCCTGTTGGCTAAAGGTCATTATATTTTTTTGGTAACTATTCCTAACGTGATATGCAGTGTAGCTGAGATTAACAAGAAGACTCTCGGCATGAACGGGTTCCTGTTGTCGTACCATACAAAAGCTAAACTCTCCATCATTCCCTTTCACAAAAAGTTTCTCGAGTACCAGAACAGGAAGAGTCTGTTCCACTCGATTCGTGAAACAACCTTAAACCGCTTCACTGTGCTTTCTGACATTGCTTGTACATTAATACGAGAAATGATTGAGGAAGAAGCGAGGAAAATAAAGTAGAGTTTGTACCTAATAGGCATGAGCGATTCTAAATTGTTGCTTTTTATGTAAGCATTTTCATGTCCATATCTTCAAGTATAGTATTCAGATTTGCTTTTCTACTTCTATATTTTTAGTGTGATTTTATTGGACTCATACAATTGCGCAAAACTTGATACTACATCAATTATGAAACTGTGTCAATAGAAAAATGTGAGATTTTAATGACAAAGGTTTTTACTGGTGATTAAAAAAAAACTATTGGAATTAGTTTAGATCTTTGTTGAAATTTTTACCAAAAAAGTACTTTAGTTTTAAACTTATTTATAGTGAATTGTGCCTTAAATTTTCTCAATGACTGCATCTCCACCAACAACAAGAAGTTGCATTAAGAGTCTCATAATTTGTGTAAATATTGGCTTTATAAATTAGCCAATTTATAAAGCCAATTTTTCTATGCCAATTTGTAAAAATACTACGATGATAAGTTTTAGTTTAATTTAAAATTTGATGTACACATAGTAGCCCATAATAAAATGTTACAATGGAAGTTGGTTTTAAAAGCAACATGCACTTGGTTTTAAGCTAAATATTAATTCAAAGTAAATTTTTGGTTAAATAGTGTGTGTAAATTGTCCAAATAGCACATGGTTTATTTTAGTTGTAATTTTCTATGTAAATTAAAATGTCTTGTGATTTACGTTTTTGTTAGTATGTTTGAATATAGAACTACTTATGGGCCAGATTTTGTTATTTACCTTTATCACTCAAAATCAAATAAGACCTAAAAACTCATAATCAATCATTAAACCAAACCTTGGATAGAACTATAACACGGGAAGTGTACAGTAGACTCTCAGTAATCCGGCAGATATAGGACTGTGGTACTGCCGGATTAGTGAAACTGCCGGTTTACTGGAATGTAATCAATAAAAACATTTAAAATGGAATTAAAAGACGTAAAAAAAATCGTGGGAGACGATGACAACGTCTATACGTCCGCGGGAGATGTTCGTGATTTTGCTTCAATCGCGCATGACGACAATGACATTTCCGTGACCGCGGGAGTAGACAATGATGTTTACACGGCCGCGGGAGATGATAAAATCTTTGCCGCGACCGCGGAAGACAACGATAACGTTTCTGTGACCGCGGGAGGCGATGATAACGTCTATACGTCCGTGGGAGATGTTCATGATTTTGCTGCGATCGCACATGACGACGATGACTTTTCCGTGACCGCGGGAGATGTTCATGATTTTACAATGATCGCACAAAACGACGTTTTCACGATCGCGGGAGAAAATGATGTCTACACGGCCGCGGGAGATAGTCAGAATTTTGCTCGCGATCGCGGAAGACCTCTTGTAAAAAAAAACACCGGATTACTGGAGTGCCGGAGTGGTGCAGTGCCGGATTAGAGAGGGTCTACTGTACATGCAGTGTTCTTGCAATCACCTATGTTGCAATGCAGTCATTTTCAATGTTCTAAATTCTTAGCAAAGATTTTAATGCAATACCCTACTATCACGATTTACTCAACAAAATATTTGTTAACAAGCATCATTACCGTGAAGTAAGAATCAATTATCTTTAAGTAAGAATCTCTTGTAATCCAGGTCCAGCAACATGGTATAGTCAATCATTTTTAAATTTTTTTAGATCAACTGGACTTTTCCTACAAAAGTATTTTGTTTCTGGAGTTAAGGGTACCCGGTACCCCTCTAATTTTCAAGTGACCTAAATCTACATTTACCTCAATATCGTATCTAACCTCACTTACCTATTTTTCTTCTTTTCCATTTAGATTACATTTACTTATTATGTAACCTAAAATCAACACAATACACAAATACCCCCGCCGCAGCAAACCTGCCGTCTAAGCGAATTTCCATTTGGCCGAATTGATTTTCAATTGATCTATTTAAATAACATTAGGTTTAACGAGTACCTAGGTTTTCTGCTACAAGGAAACTAATAAAGTAGTGTGTTTATAGTAAAATATTGATAGCTTACTATAAAATAAATAAATTTGCCAAGTTTGATCAAAATATATCCATAAACAAGCAAACTACAACATTTTACAATATTCTCCATAAGAATAACATGGGAATTTTAAATTTACCATTTTTTTAGTTTTCTCCGTAACCAATAACCGTACAAAAACACTTTGATATACTGAATTGTTTGTTTTTTTAAGCTCTTTAAGAAGGTTTAGAGAAAAATTGGGAAATTTTGTGTTTTGAGGGTAAAAAGTGAGAAAAACCAATTTTTACCCCATAAAACCCCCCATAAAACCCTGTTCCCATGGTCCGATCATGCTGGATCGCGAACTCATTCAAGTTTATCCCGCCTTACACCTTCAAACCAAATTTCATCAAAATCGGATAAAAATTACTCAAGTTATCGTGTTCACGGACACATATATATATATATAAATCTATATATATATATATATATATATACATATATAAAAATTTGAACGAATGGTGTTTTTGGCCTCTGGGGACATTAAAATGAAAAAGTAAATCGGTCCCGGGCCTAAGTCTTACCATGAGACCTACGGTAATAGCTACTTCCCTATAGGGAAATTCGCTAAAACTAATGAAACAAAACTTAACATAACTATACATATTACAAAGCCTCCAAGCTAGTCTGTCCGCAAAAAATCTACATTTTGCAAACACCACCAGCAACTTTCTAAAAGTCAGAATTCTAAGGAAAGGTAAACTAGAGATGCTGCTGGAGGAAAAGAAAGTAGAGGTAAACAAAACTATGGGGTCAAGGGGGTGCGGGTGCTCCCTGGACAGCCAGAGAGCTGCTTATATGGAAACCAGGAAGCACCTTCACCCCCAGGGGCGCTAAGTATAGTGCTCAAGACCGTCCGGGAATGGGCAGTACAAAAATTAAGTGTTGCCCTGTGTAGCCAATGGCTGCACCGTTCACGTTCGTGGCCCTGATACGCTGATCCCGGCGGCTCTAGGCTGGAGTCCCGAATGACTCCCTGGTAGGGGGCTGCAGCCCTATCAGTCCCGGCAAACCTAAACAGAATGCTGATGCCGGAATCTTGGCACGTCACTTGGGTGAGGTGTCAAGTTACTGCGGGCCCTAGACTAAGGTGTAATGCGATCCGTGCTGAGAGTCTCGTGGCACTGGGGGCCTAATATTCAGTGTCTTTAACGGAGCCTTCTGGGAACCTGGGGGAACCCAGTCGTATGTACCCCTTACCTCTCTAATCGGGTCACTGGGGAGGTGGACCTTTAGATACCCGGTACTCGTGGGAACAATATGGATGTTGATAAAAACCAAAAAAATAACCAAACCATTGTTGATGCGCAAGAAGAGTGTGGCCGACAGGTCGAAAGCATTCCTATTGCTAGACTAATTGTAGACAATCTGACCCCAATGAAGGAGGAAAGTCTACTGATATCAGACGATGACGGCAAGCTCGCAGAGACTGGGAAGGAACGAAAAAAACGACTTTCCAGGAGCGAGTTGCGAAGACGGAGAATAGCAGAAGCTTTAGCCAAAGGAGAAAAGGTGCTAACAAGAAGTGAGAGGAGGCTGGCGTGGGCTGCCAAGTTCCCGAACCTTGCTCCCAGCAAAGCCGGTTCCTCCGGGAACCAGGATGCTAGGAAAAAGCAGGGCGAGATCGGCACCCCCAAAGCTGACCCTACTGAAGCTTCCAGAAAGAGGGGGCGGGAGCACCTGACACCTGAGGATGCCGGGGGTGAGAAGAAGAAAAAGACAAGGATGCAAGAGGGAGAGATACCGAATGTGTTTGGAATGCAACCTTCAATGCAGGGAGGTAAAGCCCCACTCAGTCTGAACACTGACAAACAACCTGAACAAACGGATGCTCCAGGGTTGTTGGGCGTCATCAACCAACTGCAAGAGGTAAGTTACTTAGTGCAATAAAGGAAACTGATGGCCAGTAAAGAATTTTTTTTAAAGGGTTAGCTAACTTGCCTGAGAAAAAGAGTCTTGGTGCTGATAGATGCACAATAAAAGAACATAAAACATAACACGGTTTTTTGTCAAGCCGTATTAGAAAAAGTGAGTGAGCAGTAAATAGTTTTAAGGGATTTATTAGTTATAATAGCTTAACGGACAGATCCTTTAAATATTCCTTAGAATTTGGAACATGAGTTATATAACTATATACACTTTGCACTTTTGATTGGACACTCAAAATAGCTATTTGGTTGTTTTCATATAAAATATACTAATACAATTCTCTGGGTAAAAAAAGACTGGTAATAGAGCTTATTAAAAATTTTACAACAAGAAGATATATTGTGTTAACTTTCTTTTTCAGAAAAATGCCTATCTTGTTGGAGGGACATCTTGATCATTTATATTTTTAGTTTTTGTACAGAAAGATAGTTTGCAAATTTATAATACTGATTTCTTTGTTTCTAGTTTCTCCAAGAGAAAAATGAAAATGCTACACAGGACAAAAATCCACCTGAATTTTCATTGGATGAAGACATATATGCTGAACCACAAGAATTTGAAATAACCTATCCGCCTCTTACTATCCCTGAGAAAACTACTGTTGATAACGATTCTCCTCAAGAAGGTGTGTTATCTTCTATCATCGAACAGTTGCAGAATGTAAGTATGAGAAAATTTTATTAATGTTCTGTTTCATGCAGTTTGTTTACAGTATTAGAAAGTATGTTCGTTAACCAACGTGAAAAACTTATCTTGCTCCTCTTACTTGTCTTAGATATTCCTATAGGTATTCGGTTGTTTAAGTACTTATGATAAAAGATGGCTCATTTGCATACTTGGGAATAACGAATAGAAATTCTAACGAATAGCGCTAGCCTATTTGTTAGTTTTTTCCGCTAACTTCTATTTTATTCGTTGGTTTTTAAAAAGAGCTGGAAATAACTTCTACTCAGTTAGTTTTATAGCCAACGAATAGATAATATATTCGCTAGTTTTAAATCGGTAGTTTTTTTGGTCAGGCGAAAGTATTTCTAATACGGGTTATTTATTTGCCGTGTTCAGTGAGGGTTGCATGCGTACGTGAGATGTTAATGATTTTGCCGCGACCGCGGAAGACAACAATAACGTTTCCGTGACCGCGGGAGGCGTTAATCATCGCTCTTGTGGGCTTAAAATACCTAAATTTGTATGGTCACCATTTCAAAGTAAAGTATTAAAGTATAACTTTGGCGTTTTTTTTTGTTTCAGTTCATTCATTCAGCCAATCAAACCCAAGAAAATGCAGAAAGAGAAATATCGCCAAAGGATGTTTTGAAAAATCAATCTGTATCAGATCAAAGAAATATGAGTGAAGAGAACAGAGCTAGAAGTACCTCACGCTTTCCAGAACAATCGCAACAGAAACGTGTGGCTGATTCTACTACAGATGCTCCTCAGCAAAAACAGCCTCGTATTGAAACTACCAACAATAATCCGTCAACGACAAGCAGCAAGCTGCCAGAACTCAAAGTGAAAAATCCAGAGAATGTTATAAAACCTTCAACATCTCAAGGAGCATCTAAGACACAAGTTGCAAACCTTATCAAACAGCCCGACAACATCCCCGAAGTAAGTTAACTAGTTGTCCATAAGTTTATACATATAAAGGGTGAACGACTTAACTGTGCTGGAACCATTGGGGTATCTCAGAAACTATTAGATTTAGAGAAAACATTAAAAGGATAACCTCAACTATTTTCTTATGACATAAAAATATGAATTCAATTTTTTTACAACCGTCATTTTCTTGTCTGGCGGCTAACTTTAACATTTCTTATGGAAGGTTCTTAAGGTTCGCTTGAAAATTATATTTTGTCGTCTTTTTTTAATCTAGATTAAATTTTAGAACTTGATTATTATTATAATTCCTTTCCAAACTTGTTTCGGAGCTATAGAATGCAGAATGGACATAGCAAGCCACTTTTTCCAAGATGTAACTTGGCGTGGCTCCTAATCGAGTAGATTTAGAGAAAAGTTGTGAAGAATAAACATGTTTTAAAATTACATTTATATACATAAAAAAAACAATCATAAAATACAAGGTCTTCCATAATAAATATTATAGTTAGCAGTGACATTGGGAAATGGTGTCCATTTTGAACAAGTGGAATTCATATTTCTTAATGTCATAAGAAAATTATTTAAGTTCTCCACTTATAATGTTTACTCTAAATCTAATAATTTCTGAGATACCAATGGTAGCCTATAGTTTAAGTTGTTTCCACTTTATACCATGCAACAACCAATATCAATTTGCCTTTAAATTCAAAAATTCGGTAGACATTTTCCTTTCTGGTTGGTCAAATATACTAAAATATTATTACTTACATATCTTTGTGATTCTAGCTCTGTGCATAAAATTAAAATTATGATTAATTCTAGTTTTATATATTTTTAGGTATCGATCCTGGGTGATAGTCTGCTGCAAAGAGCTCGCTCACAGTTTGGGGGGTCGAGAAGTAAAGATTGCCGAGAAAACCATTTCACTATGCAGGGTCTGCTAAATGAAGTGATGAATTTCTACTCGGAAGGACAAAGACTGAACCACTTTTGTGTGTTGATGTGTGGTGTCAATGACATGTTCACGGATATCTCACTTGTAGCGTTGAATCAAACGCTGAAAAGACTCCTAAACTTTCTGTCGGGTAAAGGACATTATGTTTTTTTGGTAACTTTTCCCAATGTGATTTCCAGTGTGGCTGAGATTAACAGGAAGGCCATCGACATGAATGGGTTTCTGGCGTCGTACCATTCAAAACCTAACCTCTCTGTCATTCGCTTTCACAAAAAGTTTCTCCAGTGCGAGAACAGAAAGAGTCTGTTCTACTCGATTCGTGAAAAGTCATCAATCAGCTTCACTGTGCTTTCTGATATTGCTTGTAAATTAATACGGGAAATGATTGAGAAAACGAGAGACTTAAAAATGTTAGAATTGGTAAATGCTCGTAATAGGCATGATTTCTAAATTGGTATGTATTATGTAGCAATTTTATTGTTTCTTATCTTGAAATGTGGTTTTTCAGATTTGCTTTTCTACTTGTAGGCCTATATTTTTAGTGGGAGATTATTAGACCAATACAATGCGCAAAACTTGATACATAAATTTTGAAACAATGTTATCAGAAAAATGTAAAATGTTTAAGACTTATTTGAATTAGTTTAGATCCCTTTGTTAAAATTTGTACAAAAAATACTTAAGCTTTAAACTTATTGATAGTAAATCTGTTGAATTTATTTATGACCGTATGTCGACTAACCACAAGAAGGTGCATTTAAGGGTATAATTTGTTTAAAGATTTATTTAGTTATTTTAAGATGATAAGTTAAGAAACGATAAGTTGAGACAAGTTTTAGTTAAATTAAAATTTGATGTACACATAGTATCCCATAATATGATTTTTCTATGGAAGTTGGTCTTGAAAACCACATGCACATGGTTTTAAGCTAAATTTAAATTCAAAGTCAATTTTTTGTTATATAGTGTGTGTGTGAATGGTTTATTTTAGTTGGAATGTTCTATATAAATTCAAATGTGAGTGATTACAATTTTTTGTAACTGTGTTTAAATTAAAATATAAAACTACTTATGGGACAGATTACATTATTTACCTTTTTTGGGTGATAAATTGAAAAAGAATGAACAACTCATAACCAACCATCAAATTTGAAAAATAAAGTATAGATTTAAGCATTTTCCCCCCCAAGACGCTAGGCACGAGCCCGGGATTGTTTTTCACATTACTTCAGGCTAGACCTAGGGGTTGCGGCATTATCACTTAGAAAAAATCCATTGGTGATTTGGCGGGATTTGAACCCGGGACCACAGGGACTGAAGTCCACGCTCTAACCACTAGACCAGCTAGCTCCATTTTCACAATTTAAAATACTTAAAGCTGATTACACAGATTTTTCCAGCATCTTGCCAGGGGTTGGATTACTCCACTTCTGATCACGTCTTTGATTGTTGTCATGTTCAGTTTGATTGTAGGTATCAAGGTTAAAATTGTAAAGCGCAAAAGTAAGAGATAAATGTGTATTTCATGAGATATAACTCTGTATACAAACAATGAAACCATTAACTGACAATCATTTTCAATATTAAATTCAATATTTGGCAATACAAAAAATAGTGATTAGCCTATATAGTATTGATATAAACATAAACAAACATCAATAAAAAATCTCACACATAGTGTACATGCCTATAAATGAAAATCAAATAATTGGAGCAATCCCTGTTTCTACATAATAATTTATTTGTTCATATTTGATTTCCACAATTGGGAACAGACTTAAAGAGTCCTTGGAGCCTAGACGTTCTAACTCGTAAAACAGTTAAAGAACTACAATGAAAAATTCTAATCTCACAGTTTACTAGTTAAATTACAATCACTCTGGTGTTTGAAAAAAATATTTTGATATGGTAAATAACTTTTTTTATCGGCTGTTTGAAATTAACGCAATAAGCGTTGCTCTTATGGCGGGCAAATCCAACATGGCTGTTAGCTTCCATGGACTCCCTTGGAGAACAATTCAAAACTACAAGGAAAGTCCTAATCCCACAGTATACTAGATATTTAAATCATTATCACTTTGGTGTTTGAACAAATATTTTTGGACGATAAATAGCCCTTCAGCAGCTAATGGAAATTATGCAAGATGGCCGCTAGCCTCCAAGGACTCTTAAGCCCCATATTCCTAGGCGGGTAGTGTTGAGAAGTGATTTTTCCATTTGTCCAGTGGTGATCTGCTCTGCTTCTCAAAAATGGTACCTTTAAATCTCTCACCAACCACTCTAAATTTATGGGCCATCATAAAATAGTATTTATGTATGAAAAGGGGTAAGAAAACTAATATTTTCCTATATGGAAGCAAAATATAAATGTTATTTACACAAATACATTACAACCAATTTAATTGCTCTAATTAAGTTTCTTTAGGTATTCAAGTATTGGATGGAGTATTGGACGGTTCAATAAACAATTAATAGTTTCCTTAATTATTCGCCTACATTGATTAGCTAATAGCTAACAATATAATGAAAAGTAGGTCAAGTATAAATACCTTTAACTAATGGAGGCCACATTATTAAATACATGTACGGTTAAATAGTATGAATCGGTTGAAAAAAACATTCTAATTCATCTTTTAACACCATTAACAACATCATAGCAATATTGTAACTGACTACCATCTACCTTTGTGAAAAAAACATTCACGTCAACATGTAAAATCATTAACCTTACCTCTAAATAATCTATAATATTACCATCTTCTGTAATCAAGATGACATGACCTATCTTCATTCTTATACTTACGAAGCTTAAGCGGCTTTATTTAGTGATAGCATAACCTACATCTCTTCCAAATGTGAGCTGTTGGCTCTCTTGTCGCTTTTTCGATCTTCGGAAAGTGTACAAACTTTCAAAAATGAAGTTTCATCATTATCGTGGATTAGTCAGATTATAAAATCAGTTGCATGAAAGTATCTGTTTGGAAGAAAGTCATCAATGTATCGAGAGAATAGTCTTTGACAAGTTAAGTCCATCTAGACATTAGAGTATTGCAATGGAAGTTATATTGGTGCTTTTGCTTTACAAACATTTAAACTTAGAACTGATAAGCAATAAAAATATACAGTTCTTAGTCCTGAAAATACAAGTTAGGTATTTGTATATAGATAACAAAGTGAACTGGAATTTCTCTTCAATTTTTATGAGTCTACACCCAAAGCCAGTGTAGGGGTTTGTTACTAACTAAATATAGTACAATAACTAATAGTTCTCGATAAATGGTAGACACGTTCTAGTAAAGTATCGTTTGTATCAAATATTGCTTTTTGTTTACTTAAAAACATTATACCTATAAGGTGAAATAGATACCATTTAAAAATAAATAATTTTCTTGAAGCAATAAAATAGACAGGGAAGATCTGATGATGATATAGCGCTTTCCTCAAAGAGTGAAAAGTTAGCTACTTACAAAAGCAAAACCAACCGTTAAGATAATATGCAGAACTAGCATATAATATTCATCATTTGAATCGTATTGGAAGAACGATCCTGTTGGAATCACAGTAGTTCTCAAGCGCCAATACTGTTCTGATGTTGTCTCTTGTCATTTAGAAATAGACTGAGTCAGACATTTCAAGCTATAACCTGTCTGGGCACGTTTATCGCACCACATGTACTGTGTTCAGCGTGCTGAGCTTGTGATAGCTCGTGAGGAAGTTCTGCGCAAGTTGTGGCCGAGGCAGTCTTACACGGTGTGCGTGTCTGCTCAACTGAGTCTGTATGTGCCACCAATGTCTACGTTTCTGTACCAACCACAGCACCAGACCTGCAGGCGAGATAAGACGGTTAATAGACGATAACTAAATTGGCTTATAGAAGTAAAAGGATTCTGTGTGCATGTAAGCGTAGATTTTGTCTTACACAATACTTTGATGTTAACGTCGTTTACACCAAACTATTTCATTTTACTTCGTAGGTACAAACGTTAAGATAAAACTGTCGTATTCCTTTCTTGAGAATGTAAAATTCAGCTGACTGGGTCAACTGTTCTTGGTTGGTATTGCGTCACCACAGGATGATTTAGGTTATTTTATAAGTTTCAATTATGTTACTAGAGTACGGTCCACAAGAGTCTGCAGTTGAGGGAGAAAGCCTATTTAACATGTGACTTCGAAGGAGCCAATGAGGACAGTGCGTTATTAGTGTCGAAAAGTAATCAACGGGTGATGTTGCGACATAGCACCAGTCCAGTCTTGGTATTGGCTGCCGCCAACTGCAGACTCTCGTGGCCCCTAGTGTAGACTCCAACTCCAACATATATTTTGTGTGGTGGTACTCTTTGAGAGTTGTCTGAAATCTGTTAGTTATTGTATTTTAATTAATATTCTGAGCCAATAATATTGAGACGTTAACTAATTTACAAATTCTTTTGCTAAACGTAGGGTAGGTTGTCTATACAAATTTAGGTGTGACTCTTTTTGCGAGAAACCCCATTACTATAGGGCACCTCAAAAACATCAAAACCGTATTTCACATTGAAATTAGGACATTAATGTAGGCCACTTTATTTAGCTAATTGTAATACTAATACGTACCTATGCATACCCAAACAATTAAAGGGGCCCACAGCTGCGGAAGAAGAAGTGCAGCCAATGTTAGATGTAGGGCCAGAACTAAGCAGGGCTGCCACGGCGATAACACACTAAGTCCTTGCTCATCAGTCTCTTGGGGCTGCTTAGATATGATGTGTGTGAAAAAGAGTATTCCTGTGAGACAAATTGATTGTGGTTAACTTATGAAAAATTGACATTAATTAGACTGAGCTGATAGATTATTCACTAATAAATAAATCGCTAGTATCAGCAATAATTTTTTGGTAAAAAACTCTCGTAACAGGAAATTGCAGAAGGGATTGTAAACTCTCTATTAAGGGAAATTAAATGAAAATAGCGAGTATAGCGGCGCAAACACTTTTGTCTGTTAAAACATGGAAAAACTAGTACATCAAGAAAACATCTCAATTATACTGGCAAACCAAATATAAACGTTATAATGAACATTGATCATAACATTACCTAAGCAAGTGAAGGCCAGGCTGAATACTTGATTGAAGGCAAGCGCAGCAGCCATACCAACACTGGCAGATGAAATAGCAAACAGTGACAGGATCGTAATACGAGCAGAGCGGACGGTTGGAGAAGGGTTTGGTTCCTCTATGGTTCTTGTTCTTGCCACCTAAAATAGATTTAGTGATTGCTTGGTTTTAGGTAGAGAGGAACAAAGATCTTTATTTTTAAAATCACATTAAAGTTACAAAACATCAAAAGTGTTGAGCCACACTGCTCAGAATTTAAAAATTTCAGAAAATTTTTCCATCTAACTGAAGCTGTAGTAGTAGTGATTTAGCTTATAGTTTGTCACAGCTTTAACCATTTGAGCACTGACAATATGAACACTCCTGAGATCATGACAAAATCATGAATACCCCCACGATCACATTGAAATCATGATCATCTCCAATGTTAGTCAGTTCTCAGGCGATGGTGAGCATTTTCACAATGTAAAATTTATGACCGTACCAGCCTATAATGGTACGGTATCGATTTTCTACATGGGAAGAGTTTAATATGAATAAAAATAAATGTTTACCTTATACTGTCTTTGTGTCACTGAAAAAATTGGATTTTGTGTTCATAAGGTGTGAAAAATTTGTATACAAGCCTAATTTAATCCATGGATCAAAGGGTTGATAAAGCATGATTCAGAAAGACGGAAGTGTAAGTACCTTGACGGTTTGCTTGTACTCGTGGACAGCTGCATCAATGTCGGTGTCGGAGCTGTGGCCGGAGTCATCACTCAACTCTGAGTCACTGTCTGTGTCTTCTACCAGAGCTGCAGTGTCTGAGACCAGCTGATAGCTCACTCTGCCTGTCTGTGACCCTGTAGACATATCACACAGAGTACCTACATTGTCAGCGATATCATAGACAAATAGAATAAATATAGACTGTCAGCTGTGCTGCGGTCGGCATAAGTTCCGGCGCACACTGCTGCAGCGTCTGCTGGTCGCATACGGCTCCTGCGCTCCTCGCCTGCAGCGGTGTGCACCGTAACTACCCGGCAAACTTAGCTGTGGGTGCTGGAACCTTCCTTTGACAGTCTATATTAATTCTATTTGTCTATGGTGATATCACACAGAGTACATTGTCAGCCATATCACACATCACACAAGAGTACATTGTCAGCCATATCACACAGAATACATTGTCAGCCATATCACATAGAGTACATAGTCGGACATATCACACAAAGTACATAGTCAGACATATCACACAGAGTACATTGTCAGCCATATCACACAGAGTACATTGACAGTGATATCACATAGAGTACATTAGCCATATCACACAGAGTACATTGTCCTTTCACTCACACTTTTGTACACTAAAACACAATTTAAACAGTATGATAATCAACCTACCATTGTTTTTGGGCACAAATGATGGCTGGTAAGCACTGTAGATGGTGAATACTATATCACATGATTGTGATAGGAGGTATGCAGCGCTGGACAGCGAAATCTGTGATTTCAGTGGCAAAACCAACAAAACCGCACTCACCAAGCCTGCAAAATATCAAGATATGTTAGTAACTAAATATAGAAAATCAATGGTTAAAAAAAATTGTTTTGGTACAAATCATGCATTGATCCATTTCTTCATAACTTTTAATCTATTTAAAAGTAGTGGTGAGTTGGCTCAGTCAATATGCCACTGGTGACTTCATGCCCAAGGCAGTGATTTCCTGGGTTTGGATTTTGGTACCTTCCACTACTTTTTATTAGAGCATATCCAGTTATATACATCAGAGCACATCTAATCTAATCTAATCTAATCTGATCTAATCTAATCGTAGATTAGAAATTCGATATGCATCGATTTTACCCTTCCAATCCACATGCAAAAAATCTTAAATAAAGTGTCCTATTAGAGCTGCTTGACCTCCTTCCAGAACGCCTAACAAGAAACCAACCTAATCTGGTTCAAGAATAAACTGGCTGCTAAAGAGACAAAGACAGATGTTTATCCGAAGTTATAGCTTGTAGGTTAAATTTTTCTTACGTTTTCAACCAAAATAAATTACCCTTGTACACTGTTTTTAATTTTACTAAGTAAACAATATTGTCTATAGCAGTACCTGTGATTGACAGGGCTGTCAGCTGGGTGCCTGTCCACCAGTGATCTCTAGCCACCTGTGGGGGCAACACTAGCCCCGCCACCCCCACCACCCCCCGCTGTGTCATCCCCACCACCTCCACCAGGGACAGTGACAAAGATGTCAGGCACACTACAGCTAGTCCACCACGCAACATACGCCAGGCACCACTACCCCACTCCTGTACAAACATAACCAGTAAGTGTCTTCACTCACATCAGCCAATGAGAGAAATTTGCTAAACACATTTTTCCTTCAGCCTGCGGCTACCCAACTTGAACAGTTGGTCAAATTTCTATTACACATAATTGATCAAACTCACCGTCAAAACTTGGAAGAACAGCAGCTCATTGGACAATGAATTATCTCTGAAACAAGAAATTGTTTTACGACAAATTTAACATAATTTAAGATTTTTTAGGTGATGTAAATGTCATGTAGATGCTAAAATGATGATATTTAAAACATTTTACTAGGAAAACGTCTGAAAATCTAACTTCTAAGTTTCTACAAAGAAACTGTTAGGTAACTTACCTAGCCTCAACAAGACCGAGAGTTAGGAATCCAATTGCGAAAAAACAGCTGACAAACATAGTCTTGACAGGGAACAATGTAGTAACTGTAATTTTCTCTCTAGGTGTATACGTAGACAAACTGGTGGAGTAGACGAGGGTGAAGAAAGCAGCACTGTTGGCAACCTGGAATAAGTAAGTTATAACATTTTACACTCATTCACAGATGTGAATATCACAGCTGAAAGATTCTACATTCTGCATGCCACTAATACAGATGTAGGATAAAGTAATAGTCAAAGGATAAAGTAATAGTAATTATAGGTATAATCTGCTTAATTAGTTAAGTAAATATTCTGCTTTAGTTTTCGATTATTAAGGATAGGCCAACTTTGATGAGCGAAATAGACTTTTAGTTCAGCCTAGACACGACACTCGTATCAATATTCTTCGGGGTTTTTGTCTTTTTTTAATTTTCATACTTAAGAGTATTTGTTTTACGGTGTACTGGTATCCGTTTCTCGTGTCCTAAAAACTCTGTTGAAGTAGGGAGGATCTCTCTTTTGTTTTATCTCAAATAAAGAGATTTTATTTTACTCTTTATAGGCCTGTTACATATAAGATCCGAAACTAGTAACCACCATACAGCAGCCAAGAATTACTTTACACAGGTATCCAAACAGTTTTACATTTTAAAGCACAAGAAATACATTTTAAGTTATTCAAACAAAACTAAATCCCCCAGCTGGTGACAATCAGCTAAATTTGTTTTGTGAAGATTGTGAAGACATGATTATCTTACGTTACTCAGTGTAGGAAGCTCGTCGTAGATTAGTTTAGCCCTTTCTGGACTGAAGAGCATCATGTCTCCAATGAGGAACAAAGATAAAGTGATAGGAACACAAGACAGAAGACCCCACCGGAGGATCCTGGACCTCTGTGAACAAAGAACAGGATCAGAGTAAACAGACATCCAGTTAGGAAGTTTCTCCAAAATAGAATGATTGTAATAAACCATTTTTACCACTCCTCTGTTACTTAGAGTAAAATTGTGTTCAATTCACCCCACAGTCGAACCTTTAATACAAATTTCAAGGGGTAGGGGAAAATTTGTATCGAGCTATTCTCAATAAAGAGGTTTATTTTATTGATGTTTAATACTGCCGTTCATCTTATAGAGGTTTCTCTTCGCTCTGAGTTAACTGCTATAAAAGGAAGATGGATGGGTAGGGGTTTATGTTGACACAAAGCTTCTGTTAGATTTGAAAACTACGTACTATGAAAGTTAAGATCATTAGAAATTTGTCTTGTAGACGTTTTGTGCTAAGAATATTCGTTGTGAGGTTACTCAGTCCTAGCCCATGTCACAAACAAATCAAATAAAAATGTTCGTCTTATGTAGGTTTTTACCTATGTCTATGTTGTATAGAGGTGTTTTTAGCATTGATATGAAAGTTTCAAGGGGATTAAAAAAAAATGTTGTATCGAGGAATTAGTTTTAACGAGGTTTGAATGTATAACAAAAGGGAAATAGTTGTAAAAACCCTTTAAATTGTTTTTGGACATAAAATACACAAAAGTGTTCAGATTTTAAAATAGGATAAAAAATCTACAATCAGTATTCACAGTCAATTTGTTTCACAAATGTTACCTCGAGGCCCAATATGTGTAGTGTGATGATGAACAACAACACCCCGAGAGAGGCTAGGTGGGGGGACAAGATCAGCTGTTTAGTCAACCAGGAGCTGTGCCCCGCCATGTATTGCAGAGTAGTTCTCACCCCCACCACCACCCCCGCCAGGTGACAGCACTGATGTAGCAGCAGCAGCCATGCCCCGCCACCTGTCTGGCGCAATGTACTGCACGAGCCTGGCGACATAGAACATACGTAGATTTAAAAAACCATTTCAAAATCGATGGAACACTTTGATTCTTCAGTGACTTCAGGGGATGTACTTGATTCTTCAATGGTGAAGACGTTAAGTTACCCTGAAGATACACTCCACATCACAGATAAAATGTTGCAGAATAAAATTTCATCAATATGACAAGGTCATTGCCCTAAGACCACGAATCTGCAGGACGTGACTGTGGAATAATATCAATGAAGATAACAATGGTTGATACTATGTATTACATACTGTCATTTATGAAATAAAACATATTTCAATTAAAGCTAATAAAAGCAACACTACGAGTAGTAAAATACAGAGGATACAAGCTTATGGAACAACTGGGCTCTAGTGTTGGCGCAGAAATGTACTTAACGAGCCAGGAATAGCCCGAACGTTGATTGTCACATAGCTTTGTTGTACAGCAGTTGTAGCTCACAGGGTCTACCTACAGCGTGAGCGCTGTAGTACGTGATAGTGAGGGAGCAGGAGAGCTGTGGGGATGACGAATATGACCAGGGCCGCTTTAATACCAAGAGGGTTTAGGTTTGTCAGGGACGCGAAGGAAGAGATAAATTCCCCCTCAATATATGTGGAGAGAGCAATCATCACTTGTAATCATCGCATCACAAGCAAACCGCGGGCCTGCCAGCGACTGAGACACCATTTAAGTGTAACCATAGATAAAACATACTCCCTTAGTAGATTTCTCATCCTTATGGAACAGCTGAAGACAATTTTATTGTTAGTTCATGTACGGTTTATGTAGAGGTCGTGTTTTGTTTACAATTTGTTTCCCGTTATTACAGCCATTTAAAACCTCGTTTAACCAAATAATACAATCTAATCATAAATAATAACTTTTCCCCTAGTTATATAACCAAACAGTAAAGCACAAATCAAGAAATTAACCCTAAAATAATGGAAACAAAGTTTCATCGACACTAGCGTCTTTGTGTCACGTACATGAACTAGACACGAAAAACGTGCTTCAAAATTTACAATGGGATGAGAAGTCTACTTGTGTTGGTTAGTCTATGGTGTAACATTGCATGTATCCTCTTACTGTGTCACTGCACACAATATTTAAATTTCTCATGCGTCACACACAACAGTTGCAACAAATTGGCAATCAGCATTACAGTTTATAGGTGAAGAAGATTTATTGATCACCTCGTAGAGAGATGACAAGTGCAGCGACTGTCAGCCCGGCTACACACTCCGGACAACTCCATGTAGTGACTGCTACTGAGCAAACTATGAAGGTAGCCAGGGCCCAGGACTGAGGTAGACCTTGCCACAACCTGGCGGGGGATTTGTCCCCTCCCCCCACCACCACCTCCGGGTCCATCGCATCCTGGAATGAAAACTCTTCTTTATTGAAACAAACTTAGTACCTCATGGTCGTTTCTCACGGTTTACCACCAACGTTATCTGACGCCTAAGGAGCCAGAGCAAAGATGCAAGATAATTTGGAATTCCAAGATTGATGACTGGGTGAGTAATTGAAAGTATTTAGATTTTTATCACATTTAATTTCTGAGTTAATTCATTTACATAATAGGGTACTGACCGATTAAATTACATTTATAAGATGTCAACACAAAAGGAAGTTTGACATTCTTGCAAGATAATATGGAATTCCAAGATTGCTGGCTGAATGAGTGATCAAAGTGTTCAAATTTTCTGATGTCATATAATTTCTAAATTGATTCATCTATATACTAGGGTGTCTAGGATATTAAATTTTATACAACACCGTATATCATATACAATGTCAGTAGATTTAGACATTATAAATTGACAAAAAACCAGTTACTGCTGAAAGCATTTTCGAAGTAACGTTTTTTTTGAGAGAATAAATTATATTTTATTTGATATATCAAATTTTCTTTACCTTATCACTTATGAGTGATTCCATCTTCCAATATCTCCTCTCACCATCTACAACCAATGTGTGGATGTTCTCCTCATTCTATCTACAAAACATACAAATAAAATCTAAGTTATTCACTGAACTATGCAAAGAAATGTTAATAACTTAGTTTGCCGATAAAGGAACATTTTTTATAGGTTAAAGAGGTTGCACAGAACAAGTTTGAACCTAGGAGAGAAAACTATCGTAACCCAGACCCAGGTTTTACAGCTGTTACACTTTATATGGTTTCTGTTCCAAAAACCTTACCTGTAATACAGGACAAAAACTTCTCAACTCCACTTAAAAACAAGTAGCTAAATTTGAGTTACATATTCCTTGCTGGTAATGCAAATTTGTTCCTTCCTACGACTTATTGCTCCTATAAAATTAAACATTTGAAATAACAATCCAAATAGAATTGTGAAATCAAGTGGACACATTCCTCCGGTTCATCTAGTTTGAGAAACATGTTGCATTCCATGTTTTGACGATTAAAACCATGTTCAAGCCACATTTAATGGACTACTTACGGCTTTATGTGGCCTGTGTTTCATGTGACATTTCCTTTACATCCACTCTTATACATAAACCTAATTATTATTTTATAGTAGCCTTGATATTCACTTGAATCAATTTAGAACACATTACATTTATTTTGGTTTTGATTTTTAAATAAATACTTAACCTTATTTTTTTTTACTAAAATATTTTGTTTTAGATCAATGTTTTTTATCAATGAAAACCAAATGGGCCTGTAGGAAAATAAAGTTTGTATATAAATAAGACTTGGAAATGCTGGAAATACTCAATGAAAATAGTTGCTGGTCAACCAATACAAAATGAATCTTAAATTTTGTAGTTCTAAATTTTATCTATGACAAAAAATATACATTGATATAACAAATTTGTACCTCTTTTCATTTTCAGCTAACATTACAAAATATTTACACTGAGTACAACATTGCTTTAAGTTATTAAATAACTTCTTGATCAGCATTGTACGTGTTATTAAATTTACGGAAAGTAAATAAAAGAAACGTCTAAAAACACTTAAAACATATATTTACGCTTATACTGTTCCTCACAAGTCGGTAAATATACAAAAAAGATGGTAAGTGGTGATCGATTTCGATTGGACACTCCAATCATCATCAGAAATCGATCACCACTTACCATATTTTTTGTATATTTACCGTCTTGTGAGTAACAGTATAAACGTGCGTAAATATATGTTTTAAATGTTATAATACGTTTCTTTTATTTACTTTCCGTTTAAGTTATTGGTTAAAAATATCTAATGACAAATCAGCAATTGTTACCTCCAAGAATTCTTATAGGTTGTAAAGCTGTCAAATATATCTGTTATTCGCATTGACAACTAACCTACTGTGCTTAAGTATTGAGTTACTTATTAACAACGAGAACAATTAATTTATTACAAATAATTACGACCATAATGCTGAGAAATATCTACCTAGAAAGTTAATATGCTTGACAAAACTGGATGGATGAATGTATACCAACACAAAAGATGTTAGAAATTTAACAACCTATGACATATGATAGGTGTATCAGTCGCACATAATGTCCTTCACTTCACTGACAAAGTGATAACCATGTAACTTACCTTACGTCAGCTGTCAATGCACATAGGTGGCTTCCATGTCACATAGAGAATTACCATGGTAGAAAATACAACTGCCAAATAAAAGTTGTGGAACAAAAAGTATAATGTGAGAATCTAGATAACTAGTGGCTTGTAGGGGCAATAGCCCCTATTATTCTAGTTAGTATTTTGTACAAATTATTAGTCTCATGGGTTATCCTCTACCTTGAATTATTGTTTAACATTTTTATTTGTTATAATATGTATGATAGTTAGTCATTACATAGCTGCATAAAGCATTTTGATGTCTGCTCTGTTTAAAATAAAAATTCCAAAGGACTGTTCATGCAGTGTGTTTAATTATAATATAAACTTTCTAATCATAATACAACTAAGGAACATGTTCAATAGTAATTTTCATGACTATTAATTAAATATATATAAATGTCTTTGAATATATACAAATTCACTTCGAAAAAACACATAGAGGTATAATGTCATCCTCCAAATTGTAAAATGCAAAATCACCCGGCTAAAAGTAACGTAAAGTTGACCACTGGGTAAACACTGTTTTTTTTTTTTTTTTTATTGCCAACTTTTGTGAAGGTTTGGCCTTGCGCTTTATTTATAGTAACAGCGATTTTTTAAGAGAAAATTCAATCTCGGATTGGTTGATATTAGTTTTATTTTTGGCATGAAAAATATGTTCCCTTTGCCTACTCCAGTAATTCCTTCTAACTTTACACTATTTTTGGACATGGCTAACACACCCAATCGTACTCCATTAACTAATTTAGACCCTTAAAATTGGGAAAAAGTATATTTAAGCTTTATAATAGTATACACAGTAAAAAAACAATAACAATCAAATCAAAACAAATACATACTAATTTGACAGTTACAATCAGGTGATCTTTTGTTTGCAATCCGAGTGACGTCAGAATATGACGGGAATAGCACACCTATGTTTTTTCCTTCCACCATGCACAGTACATATTACAAATTACCATATGCTGTAAATAAAGTTAAACCACATGTTTTAAAGTAAACAAAGCAGACATGACTTAGATTCCCGTGCTATTTAAATGTGAATTAATTTATTCCGTAATAACCTTTTGGTGCATAATTAAGAAAAATGAATAGTTTTCCCTCAAAATTCACGTCAAGACCTTTAAAATAAGACCCCTCCCATCCTTCTACGGCCATCCAGTCACTCACAATTTCTTTACAAAAATTTGACTTACGGAATTATATATATAGATTTGTTTCAAGTTACAGTTCATTACATGTTTTTAACATTATACTCTGTGTAGAATTTAGGCAGTTTTGAATGATGTAATCCATCCCTTCCACCTGATCCTACCTTCAAAACAATATAGCTCAACAGCTAAAGGTCTTGGGTTGCAACATAACATAAGCAACAAAAGAAATTGGGGGACTTATCCTCAAACCTCATAAATTTTCTGAACAGACTATAATTTGTCCTGTTATGTTGTCCTTTTGTTTTTTAGTAAAAACATTAAACATTTAACATTATATTTATTCATTAAATTTTATATTGGAAAGCTGGTAAAGTTTGTTTTGACTCAATTGTAAAATACTCAACAATGGAAAAAGGGAACATGGGAATTTAAAATAGAACAGCTGATTTTGGAATTAATTGTATTGTTGTCCCCATTATAGGATCAGGAAGCTTCAAAAGATAAAAATTAAGGATTATGAGTTTAGGGGGTTGGGACTAAAATCCAGTGTTGATTTTTAGAATTTTGTATACCAAACTGTAATTTAATGAGTGTGGTTTAAACTATACTTTGAGAGTTTTGTACCTATCATGTTTTCATCCTCATCCATGATCAGTCTAAAATCTAAATCCTTACTCTTTCAAAGAAAATATTGTAATATATATTGCTATAACACATGAAGAAGCAGTTCCAGTTCCATAATTCTACCTTTATCAGTAACTTGAACATTATTGTTTCAAGCTGAATAAAAAAAAATTAAGGTCCAGTTATTCTGTGCCTCACTACCAATCAAATATAAAGAAATTATTAACACGTTCTTGTTTCCAATCCATGCTAAACAATATTATATTTTATTGGTTGTAATGCAATGGAGTGGATGGATTACTCAATGACAAACATTATCTAGTAGGTAACAAAACGAAGGTTGATAGGTACCGTACTCACAATAGCAACAACTTCTAAAAGATATTGTATGTTGAAATGGTTGCCTTTTGTTGATTTTGTATGGAATATAATTTTAACTTGTAAATATTACTATCTGGTTCAAATGCCTATGAAATAACTTGTTAAACTCTAAATAAGTAAAAATAATAACATGAGCAGTTTACCTGTATCAGAAGCTTTCACATAATCAAATTAGCCTAACCGAATTACCCACTTTCGGCTGTTTTCCCCAATCAAACATAAGTGACAGTTGTTTATTAACACTTTCCGAATAACTGAGAACAATGTTTAGCACAAATACAAAAGCGTAAAGGCGAACTCGAAAAGATTGTTAGGTAAATGTAGAATCACATTTACAGAATGTTGTGTCGTCTGCTCACAGCCGGCAATGCTGATGTGACGTCATATATCGATCAGCTGGTAACGCTCTCTCATTGGCTGTCGTATTTGACAGCGACAGCGACAGTGATAGCAATATTAGGTATAGTCGATTTGGCTCATTGCAGCCCACCTGTTATTGGCCATTGTTGTCATTCTCACCTGTTTCTTACCATGTTTATTTAGACGTTGATTAGTTTTAGCATTTTGTAAAAGAGAGCACGATTTTAATAGGTAAAGGTATTATAATCCTTTCATTTGTTTATGGATCGGCTAGGATAGAAAATGTTTCTCTCTGCAATTATTTTGTTTTGTAAAACCATCCGGTTATTATACCTACAGAAATTTCTCTATATTTACTAAATAAAGCAAAGGAAAAATAACCCCGCCGCAGCAAACATGCAGAGTAAGCGAATTTCAATTTGTCTGATTAAATTTTTACTAAAATATTTCCATAAATAAGACATATTTATTCCCAATTTCAATAACATTTGATTTCACGAGTGCTTGGGTTTTCTGCTACGGGTAAGGTAAAACGTGTTTTTTGACGATACGTCAATAGTATAGGAGGAAATAAATCAATTTGCCAAATTTTATCAACCTATATCCACAAACAAGTAAACTATAACAGTTTTCATTTTCTCCATAACAATAACATGGCAATTTAAAATTCCACTTTTTTTTTAAATTTCCACTCGACCGTTTCTCTGTAATTGAGTCTTTACAATGTGGATACACTTTGACTTTGATTCTATAGAAATTATTCTAACTCAACTCGATGAACAGAAATGTACCTATGCAGTCCGCGGCCTGTAGTTGAAGGTGGCCGTGAATGCACTGTACGCCTTCATTGGCTGCACTGTTGTGTGTTGTGCGGGACTGCAACGCGGGTTGCGTGTAGTTGATTGTAGGCGCTGAAACTAACATCGACGCCACCTCTGGGATAACAATCAACTTTTGCAAGTGCAACAGTTCAGTTTAATTGTTAAACTATGTATACCGTGAACAGTTTATACAATCATGTTTAAATAAAACCATAGTTTTATTACAGCTTTTTATTGATGTCCATAAAATAAAATAAAATTTGTAAATACATATAGACATATAAATATATATTAAGTAATACTAAATATTCAATGGAAAATATTTTTAAAAATCAAACTAGTCTAAAGCCTTCAAAATAAATGTTTTTGCATTAAATTGGTCAAATAATTGATCACCAATAAGAGCTAATAAAGTAATTTCCAGTGTATAGTCAATCGTTGAATGTCAATTTGACTGATTTGGTTGAATTATGTTTTGTTATAAACGTGCAGTATAGATATTTATCTTGGAAGTTATGAAATTATTGAAAAAATACGATTAATATTGTTTTTACGATTTATTACATTTGTTCTAGTATTTTACAAATAATATTAGAGAACACGTAAATTTACAAAAAAACCATTGCCATTCAAACAACTTCCATATAAAACATAAAATAATGTCGTCACTGACTCTGGCCCGAATCTTATGCTAACACATGTGGTTTTGGCATTTCTTGAAAGTTCAATTTAAATAATAAACACTTTGGGCCAGTGACGTCATTTGTTTATGTTTACGACCCATACCGCTTATGTTCTAATATCCGTGCTTCAACCTTTAGGATTTGCTGCTCGGCTTGAGTTACATACATCCAATAAGTCAGAATATCCGAGAGAATCCCAACAACAAGAGCTCGTGTTGTGAAACTAGCGTTTCGAATTACGGCAGGAAAAGCCCTCCTTCTTCACGGCTGCTGCGCGGTCGCAGCTGACGCGGAACTTGTAATTGTGTTGACTTTGCGTTTATTGTAACTTTCTACTTCCAATTGAAGAAAAAATACCAATCATAGTCCTAGCTTTCTCCCGCGAAACTATTTTCACTGATCCAGTTCGAATGACCTTTTATGTGAATTACTTTTACGTGTGTTTAGTTTAGTGGTTAGAATGCGGGATTTATGAACAAAGGTTTAAGGTTCAAATCCAGGCAATCGCCAATGGCTTTGCTAAATGAGTATGTCGTGGTGGTTCCAAGATCACTGTTAGCTGCAGGTTCGTCTATTTAGAAAACCAAAAGGAAATGTCTCCATGTGAGAAAATTCTCAGTTGTTGAGAGCTCACTCCGTTAAATTATGTGACAGTCATTTATTACTTATATTACTCTATATTAATAAATTGAATGTTAATTCATGGTCAGATGGTAAATGCTGTTGGTTGTTGATTTATGTTATTGTAATTTGCCAATTGTGTAATTATACAACTTGGAACAGGTTAGATCTGTTGGAGAGGTTCTGAAGCCTTTTATGGTATCAAATGATTTTGTCTGGAAAATACGCCTCGCCGAATATTTTATTACTGTTTAAATCGATTATAAAAACACTTATCATGCTAAAACATTATTATATTGCACATTGCACGATATAACGATTAATTGATTTCATGACAGTCGACAAGGAATTATAATTTATTGTCATTTCAATTATTATCTATGTTGTAATAAATTAACTAAATAAAATGTAATACTGTACCGTATGTCAAATAATTTTCCATAAACAAGCTTTCTTTCCTATATAAATTTAACTTAGTTCGTCGGTTTGATAAAGGAACGTGAACTGTGTCTGATGAAAAAAATAGATTTTTAACGTTTTTTTAACTTAATGTTATAATTACTTTATTTGAGTCTACAATGGTTCGTGCCAGGCGTGTGTTCATTAGATGCACATTACTTATATACGGTCTGGTAACCGTTCAACGACCGTATGTGAATCGCAAGTGTAAAGTCTTTGTGTAGAGCAATACCGACTCTAACTTGTATTGAGGGATATAATGAAGATATTAACTTACTTTTCGCCATTTTTAGCAGATTTCCTGGTTGTAAGAGAAGTTTTAACTATCAATATTTTAGATGGGGAGGGCATCTCAACGTGCGTATTTTAACCACATTTTAACCCAGATATGGGTAAGTGTGGATATAGAATGGAGTTAGGTGATCTGTGTAGCTTTGGTACTGAATAAGATCAGCTGTTTCATTATCCAATATGAAAATCCCAATGACCAGGAACAGCTGGGCGCTTTTTCTAGTGGGGCCTTGACTGGGCCCAGTTTCGAACCATCAAAATGCTACTGTTCTTTTCTCAGGATCGATCCAGCAACCTTTGACTGTCAGGTGAGCACGTTAACCACTCAGCTACCCAGCCACTTGTGTAACTTCCTGGATGGAGTATAGATCCCATCTAAAAGCAGCTACAAATGTTTTACTTAAAAGAACATATTTTAAGGAGTTTCCAGAGTTTAAATATTGACAATTATATTTTCTGTTTTAGGTACACACGGTAATAATTGATAGTAGCTGTAATGTAGAATAATACGCTAATACGCTATATAGTTTCCAATTAAGGTTGTATAGCAAGTGGATGGGGGATAGGATTTTGCTTTACTTTCTTTGAAGTGAAAAATACCGCTGGATATCGAGTAAAATTACAAACAGTCTTGTATATTGTACGAAAATATCGTTCTGAGTAGATATAATACCAGAATATGACCCCACTTTCGGCGTTTTAGAGGCACTTTTAGGGCACTTTTTATAGGGGAAAAATGAGAAAAAAATGGAAGAGCTTTTTTTGGCCACTTTTTTTAAAGACCCAGCTCTCGACCTATACACCCCTATATAAATTTTATACTTTTGTTAATACTAAAAATCACGTCTGGAAATGGTGAGCTTTTTTTGGCCACTTTTTTAAAGACCTGGATCTCGTCCAATACAAGCCTATATAAATGTTCAAACTCCATTAAAATTTCAAATCCACATCCATTCCCATGTATATTTTCAAAATCATGTGAGGTTTGTGCGCGAACTCGGGCACGCTTATGGCTATGTGTAAACTATGCCTGACTCAAATGAATGACTGTGAGTGTAACCTAATGACCCCAATCAAAACCAATTGTCAACATTCTCTGCCTGTCTGGCGCCAGTCTGTCTGGGGCAGGTTTAGACAATTACCAAATATGTTTGATTGATTGACCTCAATTATTCAATTGTTCAATTTCAGTTTGTTCAATTTCCATTGTTAAGTTCTAAATTAATTTAGACAATTTTGTGGTATATAAGGGGGGCATTCTACGGAATCATCACTAACTCTTCCACCTGGATCTTCTTGTTTTGGTAAGTCTTTGACATCTAAGCTAGACTATTGTAATATGTTGTCGTGTGTCGGGTCATGGGATCAATTGGTGACGTAATTGATGCTTGTACTCATAGGCCTACTCTGTATTTCTTTTAACTTAGGAGTGTAGCTAATTTCCCGAGTCCATTTTTCAAAACTTAGCCGAATTGAGTCACTAAGGAACTTGTAAAAAATGTATATAAGTCTATTTTTAAACACTTAGAGTATTTTGAACAGTCACTAAGGAACTTAAAATGTATATAAGTCTATTTTAAAAAACTTAGCCAAATTCACTCATGACTTTGAGTCAAAAGTTTGCACAAGTTATTATTTAAAAACTTAGCCGAATTATACTTACTATATAATTTTGTCGAGTTCCTTTTAACATAGGTAACATAGTCTTCTCTATAACTAACACTCACTCTGTATATATGTAGACTCAGCATTCTGAATTGCTAAAAAGTATTTTTACTTAAGATTTTGGATTTAGTTTTGATTTAAAAAATTGCAATTGCCAAATTTTATTGTATGAAATTGTTTTGAATATTAAAATTTAAAATTCTGATTTAAATTATTATTTCCCATTAATTGAAATTGTCTAAAATGTAATTTCCATCATATAGAAGATGCTAACTTTGTTTTTTTAGTTACATGTCAACTGTGTGCTGCTTCTCTATTAAAAAAAAAGACTTATTTTGTTATTACTATTTTTAAGTGAGTCAAAATTGTGCACAAGTTATTATTTAAAAACTTAGCCAAACTTCATGCACCGGGGGACTTTGAGTTAAAAGTGTGTACAAGTTATTATTTAAAAA